TCTTTAAAAATTTTTTTAAAAAAGAATTTAAAAAGTAGTGCCGAAAAATTAGTAATTTTGTTTTTTATAGTGATAACGACCCAAAACATACGTCGCATATTGCCAAAATGTGGCAATTATATGACTGCCCGAAAGTTATAAATACACCTTCCCAATTAACCTTGAAAGTAGGGGCCACGGAAATCGTAATAGGACCGTAAGCTTCTAGTACAATATACAATCTTTTAAGGAGAAAAGGAGATTATGGAACGACCAAGAAAAAGTGTTTTATAAATGAAATTAAAAGGACGATTGAATTTTGAGAAAAGATACACTACCGGCCATAAGTGTTTGCCCACCCTCAAAATAACACAAAAACAAAGGAAATATTAATCAAAAATCAATTTCTTTTAATTTATTTTTTAATGGTACAACTTAGATCTCTAAAAACAGTTTTTTTCCAATTTTGTTAAAAAAATTATCACAATTATATCTATATTTTACTTTCGTCGATATTTCCACCGTGAGCTTTTATTATTGCTTTTGCATAATTTCGGCATCCTGTTCAATAATTTTGTAAGTGTGAGTGGTTCTATTCTGGACCATGCATCTTGTAGTTGTTGCCAGAGGATTTGTGTAGATGTTGGGGCTGCTTTTCGTACCTGTCGGTCTAGTTCTTCCCATAAAAGCTCAATGGGATTCAGGTCGGGGCTTTGAGGAGGCCAGATCATATGTACAATTCTTTTTTCTCGTTCCAATTGTTGTAAATACTCGCGACATAATTTGGAAGTGTGTTTGGGGTCATTGTCTTGTTGAAACACGAAGTTTTCACCGATTAGTCGCGTTCCAGATGAAAGGGCATTCGTCTCCAAAATTCCTCTATAAATTTCTTTATTCAATATGCCATCTATTTTGACTAAGTCGCCCACTGATGTGCTTCCGAAACAACCCCAAACCATAATCGATCCTCCTCCGTGTTTTACCGTAGGTAAAATCTTCGTTTTGGAGCCGAATACCTCAAACTTAGACTCGTCGGTCCAGAGCACTTTTTTCCAGTCTTCCAATGTCCAATCTTTATGCGATCTTGCCCAGGCTAACCGTTTTGCTTTATTTTGTTTGCGTAGAAGGGGTTTTCGCATAGCAATTCGTCCATGCAAACCTGCTTTCCGTAAGCGCCTTTTAACTGTTGTCAAACTTACTGGTTCAGGGCGAGATGAATTTATTTCAGCAGTAATTTCCGGTGCCGTTTTTCTTCTATTACGTTTGCTTATTATTTTAATTACCCGATCTTCTGCTGGTGTGGTTATTTTTGGCCGTCCTGATCGCTTTTTGTTGGATAAACTACCAGTATCTTTATATTTTTTAACATTATAGTCCACGGTTTTACGGTTTAACTTCAATAGCTTTGCTATTTCTCTATTACTTCTTCCGATACTATGATGGCACACTATTAGAGCGCGTGTTTCAATCGATAATTCTTTTCTCCCCGACATTATTTGAAATTTTCGCAAAATTCATTAAGCACGTGAAAATCAACTGTTTACTCTACGAAAGTTTAACGCATAATGAAATGCAGTAGGAAATTTAAGAAGAATAAGGTGCCCGTACTACCTGCTTTCATATTTCCTACTAATCGTTATAAAAACTTCAAAAAAATGGGTTTCTTTACCTGAACTCTAAAATTGTCGTTTTTCATAAAAAATTGTAAACTCATTTACAGTACCTACCTGATTGTATATGTACAGAAATTTTTGGATGGTTTTTATTAGTCTTATAATTAGGATTTAATGATACGGACATTTTCATAACAATAAAATGCCTGTCATTTGAATAGTAACGAAATTTGAAGGTGGGCAAACACTTATGGCCGGTAGTGTATATAGAACGTACGAATTCTGATGCAATTAAATTTGAGATTTCAGCGGATATTAATTTACTGTATTTATTGAAATGTACAATCACGAAAGATACACTCGGCTGGTGAATTGTGCACAAACAATTCGTCCTCTCTTCTGGCGGTCTGCTACACGTGTGACGTCTACGCTTCGACGCTTCCCACTGGGGAATCCCCAGTCCCCGCGTGGAACGAGCAGTCGTTTCCTAATTGGTCTACACCAGAGATGCCAGAAAAACACCGTCGGGTGCACACGCACACATGCCAGATACGCGTACGTGAGCTCGTGGAGTTTCGGAAAGTCGACAAAGGCAAACTGACGCATGCCCTCTTTCTCGATTCTCCGAAGCTGCCCGAAGTAATTTCGGATCGCCTCGTGGGAGTCGAGAGAGAAAGGCTCACATTTGCCTTCTCGCTCTAAACAACTGAAATCCGACCTCCCGTCAACGGCATACGATTTGGATTCTCGAGCCGAGATTCTCGACTGCCCAGGCATTTTTACTTTCCGACCTATGTAGGCGCACATAAGCAAAGTACCCATAATGAAAAAAAATTTTGTAAAATTTATTTTACGGAAATACACGTTTTAAGACCTCCTGATCATATTTTAATTATTGAAAAAAAAGACATTTTTTTTTATTCCCATGTATGAGCACACATATGTATATTATTAATACGATTTTTGAAAATCAAAATACTTTAAGATTGAAAATTAATAAATTAAAATGAGATTCCACTCTTTACCAGTATTGTGCACGCTGTGGTATTTTTCAATAAGAGGAGTTCTTACTTTTATAACATAAACAAAACAGTAGAATTAATAATTGCAGAAATTAATTAATAATGATTTTCCTCGATTGTTTTGAAATAACCGTATCAATTGGTTATGACGAACTAAATAGAACTAACTAGAAACAAAAGAAAAGTGATCCCGTTTGCCAGTTTAATACAAAGTATGGGTTGTATCTTAAATTTTAAAAGGACATAGTCGAATATTTTTAAAGGTACAAAACATAGCGTTTCATTGTAGAACAGTAACATAAGTTAGCAGGTAATGTCATAAAACTGTTTTTCCCAGCTATATCCCTTTTTACCTGAAGTATAAGGTAAAAAGTACGAGCTACAAGATACGACTATCTGAAAATCGTTCACATTTTATCAATGTAAATGAAGCGGCCTTTCCATCAGAGTTAAATACAAAATTTTGTTATTTCTGTGAAAACAGAACTTTCATTAGATGTAGGTGGTGCTTGAAATTGTTATGTTTTCACTGTTTTTACGAAAAGTACCATCCAGATTCATGTACTTCGTACATTGAAAATAACATATGTTAAATGTAATTGGTTAAATTCAACTTTAAAAAAAAAATATTCGAAGGTCAGACAAAAATATAATGTCACATTTAGTGTACGATTAAAATATGATTGAAAAAATAAAAAAAAAGGATTTGTTTTGGTAGGGTTTGAACCTGCAGAGCAGAAGAAGCTCGGAACTTGCAAGCAAATACCTTGTCATTCACGCTACGCTGGTTGTTGAATGTATTTCTATTTCTGAAGATAAGTATCTGTAATAACTTTAATAATATCTCAAAGTAAAACCTAACCCAAAATCGGGTACCATTCCAACTTTTCCTTGTTAGAACCGAGTTTTCAATTTGTCTTAGCGAAAATCGTAATCACATTTTGCACATTATTCTAAAACATTTGTGGTATTCGTTTTCAATGCGATTTAAGTAAGCATGTAATGTATAAGATTTCATGTAATTTTTTCTTTTCTAGAGAAGATAGAGAAAAAGTTTATATAATTTTTTTTATATGTAAGGCGTCGGGAAAAGGCGAGGCCCTCCCACCCCTACCGATGGGGGAAAAGGCTGACGACAAAGGCGAGGGTCTAGGCCCAGGACGGGCTCATTTGTTTTTCCGACGCTGGAAGAACGGGAATAAAGCATGTATACGAATACCCTGCGTATTTCTTAATTCCTAATTCCATTCTACGCGTCTGTCTAACATATATAAAATTTAATTCGTCCTAAGATTTATATGAAACATTTAAAAGATTTTTTATACATTATGCCTATACATATATCGGAACAACTATGAAACAAGAGGTATAATCGTTATTATCCATGGACTAATTATAGTCAAAGTCTAACCGGACTTTGAAATGAGAACATAAAACTTAAATGTAAAGTTTCATTTAAATTCATTCAGCTATTTATATTCAATCGTATTAATAATATACATATGTGTGCTCATACATGGGAATAAAAAAAAATGTCTTTTTTTTCAATAATTAAAATATGATCAGGAGGTCTTAAAACGTGTATTTCCGTAAAACGTAATTTACAAAATTTTTTTTTCATTATGGGTACTTTGCTTATGTGCGCCTACATAGGTCGGAAAGTAAAAATGCCTGGGCAGTCGAGAATCTCGGCTCGAGAATCCAAATCGTATGCCGTTGACGGGAGGTCGGACTTCAGTTGTTTAGAGCGAGAAGGCAAATGTGAGCCTTTCTCTCTCGACTCCCACGAGGCGATCCGAAATTACTTCGGGCAGCTTCGGAGAATCGAGAAAGAGGGCATGCGTCAGTTTGCCTTTGTCGACTTTCCGAAACTCCACGAGCTCACGTACGCGTATCTGGCATGTGGCGTGTGCACCCGGCGGTGCTTTTCTGGCATCTCTGCTGGCATCTCTAGTCTACACCCTAGATTTGCATGTCGCATGGTGGATGGCGATGGTACTAATGTTTGGTCGGTAACCCGCGCTGCATCTAACCGAGACTGCAACGCCACAGATATATTAACATGTTCCTGAATTTTCAGAAACGCGTCATTTTCAGAAATGAATGTAAATTCGAAATACACATTTAAAAATGGTGCAAATTCAAGAATGGAAATATATTAAGATTAAAAGATAAAAATCGTGTAATGTGTAAAAACGCTTAGTAATTAAGGATAATATAAAATTAAATATTATTTGTAAATAAATGTAACTACAATGTAAATTTAAACATTTTTTTCTCGTTCGTTTAATTCTGTGGAATACCGCCTGCAGCACAGTAGATGCACGAAATTCCGTGGAGATGCGTATCTAGATAGATAGTATTATTATTTATCTATGTGGAAAAACGTTGAATAAAATGGGGGTTACAGTGTTAAACAAAATTCCACGATTCGTATATTTTAACATTTACAGATGTCAAAATGTTAGTTGTTAATATATAAAGTCGAATATTGTTTAACGAGTTAAAAATACCAAACGTCGTATTTCAATTTTTTTTTTCATCTAACGTAACGTTGTCCTAACCTAATTTATAACATTTGAATAACAAATAGTAAATGGAAACACTAACAGCACATTCATACATTGAATTACAATTTTATCATTGTTCTTTTTGTGGTATTCTGACCGTAATTTAATAATTACAGGTTAGGTATTATAGTAAGAAAAAGGAAAAGGAAGAGGATATGGAAATTCCTGAAAATCAATTGAAACAATATTATAGCGCAAATGATCAAGTCGAAAATGGTTTTATATATGATAATAAACCCTTCAAATTCACCTGCGAAGCTGGTAAAAACTATTCTTGGTGTTTATGTGGCAAGAGTCATAAACAACCATTCTGCGATGGCACTCACAAAAATATTCATCTTAAGATTAAGCTGAAACCTATACGCTTTAGTGTTAAAGAAACTAAGTCTTACTGGCTGTGTAATTGCAAACAAACATCGAACAGACCTTTTTGTGATGGTACACATAACAGAGAGGATATAGGAAATAAAAAATAAAAATGTATATACCTGTATAAATTTAAATAAAATTTGTTTTATTAATATGTATTATATTTCCTTCACATAACTTCATTTTATAGACATGAATTTTACATTTTCTTTCCTAATATCATTATGCTTCGTTTTCGATGCAACAAACAAGTTTGACCAATTTTTTGGACAAGTTTACAAGGACGAATCAAAATGTCTGTCATTTTAAATAGAATCTCAGCATAAACCTATTCAGTTACGAACTTCATTCTACAGTCGTTTGAATTTTGAAAGTAATAGGTATAGGTAGTAACTCGCGTGCAACGGCAAATGCATTAAATGCATGTTGTAAGAAGTAGAATGTTGAATTAATCGTAAAAGCCAATTAAATAATTTTACGAAATAAACAGTAGATCTCATCGACCATTGATCGATTTCATCATGAAATCCGCGCAAGTATCCATTATTTGTTTAATTTATATTCCAAGCTTCAGATTTTTACATAATAATAAAGAACTTTTAATTCTTTCCGCAAAAGAATGGTATTAACGTTGACAAAATTTCACTTTATATAAACGTGTATTTTATAATAGCATTCAAGTAATTTTTTACTTTTTCAAATGCTTTAGGTATTTAAGACCACCTGTTGTCACACAAAAACACGCAAACCGTCCAAAATGTGATAACGAAATGTCCAAGGAACCTGTTAAAGTTTTCTGTCGTTTAAGACCAATGATTCGTCCTAACGACATATCATGTATAAAGATTATTTCTGATACAAGCTTAGTTATCTCATCGCCTGAATCTGTAACAAACATTCGTACTACGAACAGAGCTATTCAAGTGTCTTTCAGCCATATTTTTGGCTCGAATGCTTCTCAGAAAGAAGTGTTTAATTTTATTGCATTACCACTGATAGAAAATCTCATAAGTGGTAAAAACAGTTTACTTTTCACATATGGAGTAACTGGAAGTGGTAAAACATATACTATGTCTGGCAATCCTCATGATGCTGGCATTATGTCTCGTACTTTGGATGTTATTTTTAAAGCTATAGCAAACTATCAGACCAAGAAGTTTATCTTCAAACCAGACAAGTTGAATGGATTTGATATTCAATCTGAAACTGATGCAATGTTAGATAGACAAAATGAACTTCAAAGATTTATAGCAGCTCAAAATGGAAGAACCCCTAAAATGTATATTCTTTTATTGTATAAAGAATTATGCTTATGAGAGAATGTCAAGACTTGACCCTTCCCAGAATTGTTGAAAACTTTGCATATGGCAAATTATATTGATAATTGTTATTGTTTGATGTATTTATGAAAGTATAATGTAAAATTGCAAAAAGTGACTTTAAACAGATTTAAAACAATGTATAAAACGTAAATGTAAAAATATTGCTATAGAAGCACTAACAGGTAATATAAAAAATAAAATTGGTCCTATTGAGGTTCAAACCAGAAACAACCCCCAAAAATACAGCCTTATGGAAGATTTGATGCAATTCTGAGGGTAACAAGTCTTAATGTTTACTTATTAGTATAAAACTAATATCTTCTGTACTTTCTAAAGGCGAAAACTAATTGACGAGGATAACAATAACAAAAATGGGTTAATACAAACTAGTGACTCAGAAACTGTACTTATTGATGAGGATAACGTATATGCTGTATTTATAACTTATGTTGAAATTTATAATAACAGTGTGTACGATTTACTGGAGGACAATGAGGGTAAAGCAAAGTGAGTGAATTTTCTGGAAAAATAACTAACATTTTATAAGATTTATGACAAAATTTGGAAAATTTAGAACTTTACAGAGTAAAATTATTCGCGAGGATGGATACAGAAACATGTATGTTCATGGATGTACAGAAGTAGAAGTTAAAAACTCTGAGGAAGCGTTTGAAGTATTTCAGCTAGGTCAGCATAAAAGGCATATCGCGTATACAGCCCTTAATGCAGAATCAAGTAGATCTCACAGTGTTTTCACTATAAGACTGGTACAGGTAAGACAAATCGACGATATTATTGTAATCTTATAGTAATTACATTAATCTTCTACCAGGCACCATTAGATAGAGAAGGTGAACAAATTGTTCAAGATAAACGAGTGATTTGTATCAGTCAGTTGTCTTTGGTAGATTTAGCTGGAAGTGAACGTACAAATCGTTCCAAAAATACGGGTCAACGACTCCGAGAAGCAGGTAAGCAATACAGAGATATTAATCATTTTATTATCATGTGCATAACTCATATTTATTGAAATAGGAAATATAAATAATTCATTAATGACATTGCGAACATGCTTGGAGATACTACGCGAAAACCAAACCCAGAATACGACTAAAATAGTCCCTTATCGAGATTCTAAAGTGACACACCTTTTCAAGAATTATTTCGACGGCGAGGGAGCTGTGAGAATGATCGTTTGCGTTAATCCTAGTGTCGACGACTATGACGAAACTATCGTGAGTACTTATTTTTTATAAAGCTAAATAATCCACAAAATACGTTCATTTCATGCTAACAATACCTTTACCATAAAGCAAGTAATGAAATTTGCTGAAGTTAGCCAAGAAGTGCAAGTTACAAATTCTGCAACTCCGAAACTAGATTTAGGATATATACCCGGTAGAAGACAAGCCAATAAAGTAAGAAACTTCATTTTCGTGACATTATATTTTTAAACTTGTTTGAATTTGATTATCATTATCTTTCCTGCAAAGATATTTAAAGAAGCAAAGAATAGATTGGAATGTGCCGGTCACCCAGCTGCTGGTGACTTAGAAGTTGATTTAGGTTTAGTATATAGGTACATTCGCCTTCTGTTACCATTTATGTATTTACAACAATATTATTTTGTTATACAAGTATTTTTTGTAGTCTTGGAGGTCCATTTCCGGATATGGACTTATCCAGCCCGCACAATGACGAATTAATTACGACGCTGATGCACTTTCTGGAAACACGTATTCAAAAACGAAACGTCTTACAAGATGATTTGAGACAAAAACGTAATTTTCATCAGAGTATTAACTTTAGATGTATATTTTAATGGGAGATTCTAAAGACCGAAATAAAACGAAAATCAAGAATATCAATTTCTTAATTGAGGCTGCGTTAAAAAGTTTAAAAAATTTCAAATCATTCTGAAAAAATTATTTTTGGTTGCGGGGAAAAAAATTCTGTATAGGCGGAACTTTAAACATTAATAACTTCTTAATGAAGCCTCCATCAATAAATTGGTATTATTGATTTTCGTCTTATTTGGGTTTCTAGAATCTTCCATTAAAATTTTTCCCAGGGGTAGCCGAACACCCTGTATATTCATTTTCCCAGAAAAAAAGTTTACACAAAATTCATTTTTTTTAGAAAGTAATTTCCGAAATATGCTGGTAAAAATAGAGCGAGAGACCGTGTCACTAAAAATTGAAAATTGTGCATTGAAAGCAACGAATGATCAGCAAAAGAAGAAAGTAAGTATTTAAATGAATATTCTAAACATGGTAATTACTAATATCGAAATACTTCAGATATCTACTTTGGAATCTCATATCTGTAAAACGGAAGCCCAAATCGATACTTTACTGTACCGATTAAATAGCGCGAACGACATAATCAGACACATGAAGCAAGAAGTAATTTTTAACATTTTATTTTATGGCTTATTTCTATCTTTTGTTGAGTAAAAAATTGACAGACTCTCTCCGTAGTTGAAGAACAAAGATCTGATAATAAATCAACGTGAAATAGATAAACAAAGAGTTAAAGAAAAATACAGCAGTAAAATTCAAGCAGAGACTGATAAAATGAGTAAGGAACTGGAATGTAAATTACGCCGCCAACGTGAACTCCTCCAGGTATTTGATTATGCTCGCATACATTTCATATGGCTATTAACCTTGGTAAATATTTAATTAGTGTCAAATGAAGGAGAAGGAGGACAAACTAAAATTAATGAAACAGATATTAGTGAACGACGATAATGTTGACAATAAGGAGAAAGAAGAATCTAAGGAAACAATTTCAGCAACGAACGATGCTGAAATTCCTACGTCTTCCAAACCTGCGACTAGTTCGAATAGTGGTTCAGAAAGTATATCTTGTATGACAGACACTCCAAAAATTATAGGAAATACTGTGTCTACTGTTAAGTTTGAGAATAATAACGACGTCCGATTAAGCAGAAAAGTAAACATTTAGTATACAATTACCTTATTACGTTCTTATCATTCTCTCTCGCGCGCGTGCACACATACTCCCGCATATACGTCGAGTTATTTTCTGTGACAATTTTTAGGAAAAAATTCCAGTGGTGAATCTGCGATACAGACGGTCACAGAGTGCAGACAGATGGCTCGACCATCGGCCTCCTGGTTTAGTTCCAGTTGGTACTATTCTACAACCATTAATACGACATAAATTAAGCGTTACACAATTAACAGACCCGAAGGATATAACGGATAGAGCATCCAGATATTGCCTCATTGCACAGGAGCAGGATGCAGACGGTGAACTTGAAACTAAACTTTACAAAGTCAGTATTAGTAATTTTCTTGAGCGTAAGTATATTCATAAAACAAGGTATAAATTGTAAATAAGTTTTACATCGTAGGGTGATATATTACCAACTAGTGGAGGAGGTGCACAAGTTGTGTTTAACGATATGGAACACTTAAAACAACTGTCTCCCGTTGTAAGAAGAAAACGTAGCGGTTTTACCAGCTCAGAAAATAAAGATTCCGTTACTGAAACGGATCCTTGCGATTCGGAGAAAAATAATTTGAAGAAACCACGTGTTTAGCAATATTACTTAAACTTTTATATGCGTTATTTCACCTCGCTCGTGAAACTTAACAAAAACTTGTTTTACAAGTAGAATTAAGTACATAGTATAATATGTAAAACCAAAGTTACGAAGAGATGCGATTCTCTTCATTTTTTTTTTATGCAATAACGAAAAGTACAAATCAATTATAAGTATAGAAATTTACGTTTAGTACATTTTTGTTTAATTTGACAACGAAATATATATTTTCTGTTACCGAATTATATTAATAATAGAAAAATAATTTAACTGTTTGTAGTTTAGTGGATATTGTTACGCAAAATATCTTTTGCTTAAAAAACAAACTAATTCCTGAGCAGCTTATTATAAAATAAAATTCAATATATTCTTTTTTAATATCTTTCCTTTTTTATTTATAATTCCGAATCGTGTTAAATGTCCATTTGTTTCCTGTGGCTTATACAACACAGACTCCGTGAATAATACAAACGTTAGGACAACAGAAGCCTGGATATGTATTGCCAACAGCAAAATGGTAAATATATATGTACATTGTTTCTACACGGTGCAAATTACAAAAATCTAAATTGAAAAATCATCCTTATTTGTTTTTTTTTTTTTTCTACAATTGAATTACAAAAGCGGTTTTTCGAATTTGTCGAATTTTAAACTCGATAATCGAACGAACGTTTATCATCAATTCTGATTGCCTTTAGTATTTGCAAGTCAGTTGATACAATAGTAAAAAAAAAATATATATATATATTCAAAAAATTTGCTACCGTGTAGCATTAAACACAAGTCGATAGAACAAGTTATATTTTTTATCTTATAGAAACTACAACGTTACAGAAATTGAGCATACTCTTGCAACTGATATTGTTATTGTATGATACAGTGTCGTCGACAAGATGAATTACATTTTCATTGTTTACTTCTTAGACTCCCGATGTGTTGGCAACGTATAAAATCATACAAAGTATCGAGACTAGATGAATACCTTAATTAGTAAAGTAATTAATCGTTATATTATGATAAGTTTTAAGAAATTATAAAAAATCGATTATTAGATTATTTAGAGATAGAGTGTTATGCGACGATGCATTCTCCCCTTTGTTTTTTTTTTTTGACGCAGTACAAACAGTAGAACATTGCCCATTAGAAGCTATTTGTTGCAAGATAATAAATTCATCGAATAAAAAAGTGAAGCTGTAATAAGGTTATCCTGTATAGAAATTGGTAGGTAAGCGAGTTCTTGTGCAGTTGAAGTCTTAACGCATTGAGAATCGAATGCTACTAATCGATTTATCGTTTGTATGTGTACGTGTATGTGTGTGTATTTGCGCGCGTGTGTGGAGGGAGCATGTGTATATGTATATATATATACACACATACATATATATTTCGTTACAAAAACTAACATATTGTCATCAAACAACTATTGTTTAATTTTATATCGAGAAAAGAGTATGAATATACTTTGGTTCAATCGTACACTCTTTAGGGAAGGAACAAGTCGCCGTCCTATTAATGCGTTAAAAAAAAAAGAAGAATATACAGGTTGTACGGCCATACCTGAGAATAATTTTAATGGGAGATTCTAGGAGCCAAAATAAGACGAAAATCAAGAATACCAATTTGTTGATCGAGGCTTCGTTAGAAAGTTATTAACCTCTTCACGCCCTTGGCCACATATGTGAACGTTTAGTTTTTTATAAGTATAGTTACTGTCAATAATAAATAGACCAAAATTTTCACTGCAGATTACAAAAAAAAAAAATCGTCCCTGAAGAGGTTAACGTTTGAAGTTCCGCCTGTAGAACGGCAATCTGCGCACAGTTTCATCGCGTGATAGTGGTTCTCATTCAGCATGAGAAACTCTACTTACTGACGTATCAAAAGTCTCACAGTTTTGTGAATGAGAACCACTATCACGCGTACGCAGCTGTTCGCAAATTGCCGTTCTACAGGCGGAACTTTAAACGTTAATAACTTTTTAACGAAGCCTCGATCAACAAATTGGTATTCTTGATTTTCCTCTTATTTTGGCCCCTGGAATCTCCCATTAAAATTTTTCCCAGGGGTGGCTGCCGAACACCCTGTATATGCTATTCCCATTTACTTAAATTCTATAATCGAAACACATGGTTAACTTTGAGCACTTTCGCGAGTAAAAGGAGACATGAATCATGCATAATACATACGACTCGCTTTGTTCCCTGTAAATATATTTCACGAACTAAGCGAATCGATGATCTAAACACCGGACTCGCGGTAACTGAAACGACCGAGGGGATGACATTTACAGATTTTAACATTTACCCATAATTCTTAAAGTTTGATGCTCTTATTATTATTATATATATATATATATATCTATATATGTATGTGTGTAGTATGTATGTAGTACGTATGTATGTATGTATTATACATACATGTAGTACCTTCTGCGCGTATAATATATTACTTCTCTCCTCTCTTTAGACCTACCGAAACAAAAGTTCTCGTCGTAAAAGCGATTACGTTCTAACTCGAATATTTAAACATTCCAGATAATACCACAAACACTAGACCAGAAGTATAATGATTCTTCTTTATGAAACCGGAGAGATTCTTTATAATAGGTAATAGGCTTTTTTTCGCGAAACATTTAAATCGCTTTCCATTTGAGATTATTATGTGTAACATCAACATTAATTTTCATATTTCCCAGTAAAATAGCATTACGTGTAATTTACTGTCAGGTGTGACGGTAATTAACACAGCTTTTATAGCACATTATGTGTACCAATAACAACGTACAATAGACAGTTTTGTTATCACTGCCGATATGCTAACGTTTAGAATACCGAAATAATAGATGTACAACAAATATTTGCGTATAAGAAATATTAACTTGATTATAACGTCAAGTATCGTTTTACGAAACAATCAGCACAAACGATAAATTCTTTTTGAAATTGTATAGAGGCCTTTGTATATCTTGGTCTGTACACATAATGTACGTAAAATATAGCCTGCGTTTCGAAAGTAGAAATAAAGTGATGGAAAAATAAAAATAATAAAACCACAGTGTTCAACGATCGTGACTATAGAAAAGTTGTAAGCTAATACTGAGAAAATATGTCATTGGTTATAGAAGTTAACAAACATTCCCGTGAAAAAAATTCTTGAAGGGTCTCCTCAGAATGGCAATCCGTGAAATTCAATCATTTGTTATGTTTCTAACTCCCATTATAAATGTCATAAGGAATACTGAGATATTCGACAGTAAAGGCATTATTGATGGACCAAGTGAAAATCTTTGTGGTCAAACATCAAAAGTGCAAGAATAAACATCCGATGTACTAAGCCTTTCTTTCCCATTAACGCAATAAACGTAGTATAAGCGACTGTATCATTACGACTTTCGAACGAACGGTCAAAATTTACAAGCTTAGCAACAACGAACAACGAGCTTATTCTATAGCTTTGCTCATGAACTCTATAAATCGCTTGCCGTATTGTTCTGGATCACAGGTTGATATACCATCAACATTAGCACCGTACTTCACTGTTTTAGCTGCCTTAGCAGCTTGCTTACGGACACCGTAATGGGTTAGCACATCGATTATGGCTAAAAAATAGATTTCCTTCATAGGTGCGCCTAAAACAAAATACCATTCGAATGTCAGATTCAGCAGTGAAACATGAGTCGAGCAAATAATTACTTACCTTCTTTACTAGGAATTGCATAAATATCTAACTCAGGAATTATTGCATCTTCATATTGAAGACTCGTGTCGCGATTTAACGGGGCATGTGGTGATTCAGGAGGTGTTGCCATACCAGCAACACCACTCCAACCCCATACACGACTAAAGGAATAAATAAACATTACAAATATCGATAGTCAAATATCTTTTAAATAATTTTCAAATGATGCTCACTCTCCCATTGGACCTCGTGAATCTAGACCACTTCCAGACTCACTATCCTCTTCATCTTCGTGATTATCCTCTTCTTCCTCCCTCTCTGCACGTTCTCTATTTTCTTGTTCGGCTCTCGCACAATCATGTAAACCAAGTAGTAAAGAATAATCCATTAGGTGTAATCGCGTTAAGAACTGTAATAGTAATTTTATTATTAACGCAGTACAATAACATACAATAGAGGAAGAGGAAAACTCACATCAACATCCGCAGATAACGTTTCTATAAGCTTAGCTTTCGCATCTTCGCCGATATAAATTTTCATTCCCTCTTTAACAAAATCATTATCCTTATAAGTTGGCAGATCTTTTTCTTTTTCTTTATCGGACGCCTCGCGATCTACCGTTGAGCCTTTTAAATCGAATTTCTTATGAGTCGTTAAGTGATTCGAGAATACATTTCTTATAGCAACAACATAATGTTCTACTCCGTCTACCGTTAAACGATACATGCCAAGGTACTGGGGCAACAAAGTTTTTCCATGCCTTTCCACAATATACTGTAAATAATGTTATTAGTCTTAAAAATATAAAAGCACATCGCAATAAAAATTCTTCCATACCGGATGATAGTGCTTTAAAAACGAATGCATCCTTTCTACCTCTTCGCTTGTAAGAGTTTTAATAATGAACAATTTATCATATGATTGGTAAAATTTCGCACCGCTTTTACCAGAAGAATCATCCAGTACTGGTTGTGATCTGAAAAAATAATAATACGATTTACTTATTCCCATCATTGATCTTCAAGTATATCAAATTTGTATTAAAAACGATTTTGTTTACATAAGTTTTTTTTATTTTAAAAACTATAACTACGTTTTAACATGCACAAAAAAAAAAGAAGACTAATTTTCCATATAAATATTAAGCATAATAATTCACTTGTTACAATACTATCATTTATGTATTATATTGTGCACTCTGTTGAATAAAGAAAAAAAAAAGAAAAAAGAGTTGGTACAAAACCATAAAAATGACATTTAACGGTCAATCACATAAAACTTAAAGAACCTTATAATATTATACACTGCAAAAACTAAAAGTATATCAAGTTAAACCAAAAATGCATGCTAATATTATATGTAATTCTGAAGGGTTTTAATTTGTGACATTTTAAAGGAATATATAAATAAATATGTTCTTTGTGTATGATAAGACAGTACTATAAACTAATGTATGTGCTTTGTTTCATTTAAGTGATTCTTTGTCCTTAATGAGAAAACTCATGGAAACGTGTTAGCCACAAGCAACACGCACAAAATGAAAAATCAAGTCTGGCTAACCTCAGACGCTTTGGCTTAAAACTGTAGGAACGAAGTGGCTTATTTAGGACTGGAATTTGTGAGAAAAGAGGAGGAGAAAGGGTTATAGAAGGAGCAGTAGCAGAGCGCTGTACCAATTCACGGGCCTTCCCAGTCAAATCCGAATGCCTCTCTGTTCGCGAAGGATTAAATGCCCGACATCTAGTATCAAAATTCTTGTATTACAATTTACCATCAGCAGGTTTATTTGATATTTTCAAATGAAAAGTACACTTTGTACATACGACAAAGTGAAAGAAATTAACTCATTGTTTTCTCGTGTAATCATATTTCTACAAGGTAGTACTTTAAAAATTGCATATTGCTTGATATATTGCATATAAACTTCATTGCAGATAAAAAATATGTTAGTCACAAAATCAATTTATTATTTAGTAATACACTTTTGTTTACATGCCTTATAGAAAGGACATTCTATTATTATGTTTTGATTTTCTTCGATCTTTCAATATTTACTTTACTTAGACATATTAGAAATAGGTATTCAAACACAAAACATATGCATCTTCATTAAATGCAAAATGTTACTAATATTATAACAAAATATCTTTCTCATGACTCAAACTGATATTAAATACCATAATAAAGTTTTCATTTACAATGATTTGCCTATGTGTCATTGCGTAGATTATCTTCTTCCAAGGTTGTATCAAGTAAAGCCCCTAAATCTGCAATGTTCTATAAATAAATAAACGTGCCTTGTAGCAGAAAGAATAAAGAAACATTTACTAATTATTTTAATACATACATGGATACTTTACATGTGCACTATAGCTATCAACTTATACAGAAAGCCTTCCCAAAACATAACACGTTTTTAGCATGCAGTGTAATATCAACAAAAAAAAGAAATCTGAGAAATAAAGTAAAGGTTGTTTTTTATTCATAAAGTACATTGCAAATAAATCTTGGGTTTTGTCATGACTTCGATAATATGTATTTCTCGAACAATTTATAAAATTTTAAGTACCTAAATGCATGAAAAATATAAGTATAAAATAAGCTATCTTTTACCTTGTCATTGATTCCTTATAGTCCAAATCATCAATACCAAATCTCTCCCGTAGATTTCTGAATACTAACGGACAATACTCTTTGATCTTAAAGTGAGAGGGCATATTCTCTCTAAAACAAACAAATTAAATATATGAATATTTGAAGTTCTTTATTAGAAAATAAAAATATATAAATCTCATTAAAGTTCTTACATTTTTTAATATTCAATAACTTTTAAGGGAAAATGTCAAAATGAAAAGTAATGCTTGCTTTCACATTAGCAAATAAAATTTTTCATATCTTTATTGTTAATCGTAATCTTGGACCATGAAGACCTTCATTGATTCTATTATTAAAAGCAGTAACCAACCTACTAATTCAGTATTTAGATATATATTTAGAATAGGCCACCTCTGCAGTTTGCTTTAATTTTACATTAATGATTTCTTTTCTAGATTAGATGGTAAGTTGAATTAGTGCTTTGCGCCGCTGTTAAATATATTTTAATTCGCTTTTTTTCTATCTTCATATCGTTTTAACTAATTTTTAACCGAAGGGAACGCAGCTATATAATGTACAGAACTCACTTGTTGAAAAGGTGATTATCCACTTTCAACTTGCTATAAGCTCTGAAATCATCTGGCAGGAGCATTACCGGTATATTAACATGACTAAGTTCATTTATCTGCAATACATAAAAACATAATATTTGTGTGACAATAATTTCTTTAAACAAGTTTTCATTGCAACCTCTAATTAAATAACATTTATCATATAATCTATATGTAACAAGATTAAGCACTTGTATATACAAATTTCATCATCCATAAATGGATAAGGAATAGGTTGATACATATTTCCTTGTATTAATCCTTAATGTAATTCATTTTGAACAGACAAAAATTCTAGTTACCGATAATATTTTCTTATAATTAATTCTTTATCTTGTACCTATCTTTAAACATATACGTAAACTTTATTAAAACATCAAAGCAATAAAAAGAAGGAATATTTTTGTTTTTTTCAGTTATGTGAAACTACACAAATAATTAATTTTAATTACTTGACTTCGTTAAAGGAACTAATTTGATTGTATAATCAATTCATTAATCTGACAGTGACGTTAATAACGGGCAACATTTATCAAACGAAAGTATTTTTAATCGAACTCAAATTGAAGTTAAAATAAATAAACATAAGACAATTATAACGGATTTAAACGCATAAATAAACGATACACAAAATGAAACGTAAATGTTTTGACGATCGATCTCTTCGTTGACAAAAAAATCTGCGTCATTGCGTGCTTCGCAAAGACAAATGTATAATAATTCACGAAGAAAATTAATACTTCGCTGGCTACGAGGAAAAGGTGACCGAATATATTGTGTACGCCAAAATATTTTTCAAATCGAGGAGAACTTCACGAGAGAATCGAACAATTGTAAACGCGGTAAAATACACCGCGACGTTCGCCTAAATTTCCGGATTCTATTAAAAGTTTTAAGAAAGAACGAACATGGAAAATGGCATTTCGATGACGTACGATACTGTCACACATAAATACGTTATTACTCACCGTGTGATTGACACCCCACATGAAAACACTGAGAAGAGGTTCGTTCGCACGAAACAGCTTAACCTTTTGATGTTTAACGCGAAAGTGTTTCTTTTTAAGTTTGCTAAGTCCACTGGACATTTGCGGCGCACTGGACATGTTTCTCGCGTTGGTGCTTACTTACGAACACCTTTTGCTAACACCTCTGTTGCACACACAACGAAAAAACTCACAGGAACTTTCTTACACTGTCGTCATTGCGGGATTGCCTCGTATGCGGAAGAAAAAAGCGCACAAATACGAGGTGACGATCGTCGTGAAATACCAAACGCACCCGACCGCGGTTGATTAGCGACTGAGCCCCTTTTAAAAATGGCGAGCAGAGCCATCCTACCTGCAACCGTACCACAGCTATAGAAACTCTGCGGATATGCGAGTTGCGCCTTGGCACCGTTTCCAATCACGGCAAAGAAATTTCACCCGTAAATTTGCTGCAACGTTACGTTCGTGCTAATTATTTCACAGAATAGTTAACTAAATTTGATTATACTCAATATATATCATCGAAATATCGATGCATACTTTGTTTATGCCTACGTGTTTTTCCCTTCGATTATATCTCAAACTATAACTTTCAGTGCGTCGTAAAGATCCATAGTTCGATATAAGTCGTTTTTATACATTTTTTAAACCACCACTGATACAATTATCTTGATACTTTAAGGCAATTTACATTTTTTACTACTAACTTTTTTCATGTGATTCCCGATATAAGCGTTACTGCAGTATACAGGGTGTTCAAGTCACAAGTACCCAGTGGTTTCTTGCAGATAGTAGGATTTAACTATTTGTTGAATTATTTCTGTATTCGAATATTCAAATACTTTAACAATTCAAATATTCCACAAATATAATTCGTATATTTTAAGCACGGATTAAGCATCTAGATATACGTAGTATTTTAATAAAAGTATTAGACAACTTTTCTGTAAGACGTCAAACAAAATTAGTAAAAATAAAAAACGACGTGGGGTAGTTGCCTAAATTTTTCGACGAAAAAAAAAAGAATTCAAATCGTTCTGGAAAAATTATTTTCGGTTGTGGGGGTCAATTACAATTATTTTTGGTCAATAGACATACCTCCGAAATCCTGCGCATTTTCGAGAAAAAAATTCAATACGGGCGAAATTTTAAACGTTAATATCTTTTTAACGAAGCCTCCATCAACAAATTGGTATTCTTGATTTTCGTCCTATTTTGGCGTCTAGAATCTCCCGTTGCAATTTTTCCCAGGAGTGGCCGAACACCCTGGGAAACCCTCGTAAAATTTAAATGCCTAAGAGAACCCGTCGCTAACAAATTTGCTGTCTCGCGATCCTTTTAAATCAGCCGGCCCCCGCAGACACGCAATTACTCGGAGTTCGGGCTCCGCCAATCGAAAACGAGACTTCCGCCGCCAACCCGCAACGCCGCTTTACCGCAGAAGAAGCAACGCCACCCCCGTGGCGGCTCATCCCAATGAAGATGCCACCCCAACGCCCTGACCGCGTCAACATCCTCGAGGGCAGAGATGCCAGAAAAGCACCGCCGGGTGCACACGCCACATGCCAGATACGCGTACGTGAGCTCGTGGAGTTTCGGAAAGTCGACAAAGGCAAACTGACGCATGCCCTCTTTCTCGATTCTCCGAAGCTGCCCGAAGTAATTTCGGATCGCCTCGTGGAAGTCGAGAGAGAAAGGCTCACATTTGCCTTCTCGCTCTAAACAACTGAAATCCGACCTCCCGTCAACGGCATACGATTTGGATTCTCGAGCCGAGATTCTCGACTACCCAGGCATTTTTACTTTCCGACCTATGTAGGCGCACATAAGCAAAGTACCCATAATGAAAAAAAAATTTTGTAAAATTTATTTTACGGAAATACACGTTTTAAGACCTCCTGATCATATTTTAATTATTGAAAAAAAAGAAATTTTTTTTATTCCCATGTATGAGCACACATATGTATATTATTATTACGATTGAGTATAAATAGCTAAATGAATTTAAATGAAACTTTACATTTAAGTTTTATGTTCTCATTTCAAAGTCCGGTTAGACTTTGACTATAATCAGTCCATGGATAATAATGATTATACCTCTTGTTTCATAGTTGTTCCGATATATGTATAGGCATAATGTATAAAAAATCTTTTAAATGTTTCATATAAATCTTAGGACGAATTAAATTTTATATATGTTATACAGACGCGTAGAATGGAATTAGGAATTAAGAAATACATAGGGTATTAGTATACATGCTTTATTCCCGTTCTTTCAGCGTCGGAAAAACAAATGAGCCCGTCCTGGGCCTAGACCCTCGCCTTTGTCGTCAGCCTTCTCCCCCATCGGTAGGGGTGGGAGTGTTGACGGACGAAGGCCAGACGCGGTCCCTTGCCAGCGCCTCGGCTTGTGCCTCGCCTTTTCCCGACGCCTTACATATAAAAAAAATTATATAAACTTTTTCTCTATCTTCACTAGAAAAGAAAAAATTAAATGAAATCTTATACATTACATGCTTACTTAAGGGGGTAGGCACGTGTAATGCAGCGCGCTGTAAACCGACACAATTTGGCCCGAAATAGGGGGTTTCGAAATAAAAGATTTTGCCCTTATATGAGCAGCTTTTGGGTCGAATGAGGTCTCATTCGAAAGAGGAAGGTCCAATGCAGTGCGCTCTGGTCAGAATCGAACGAGATTGTGTTCACATTTATTAATATCAACGTCGAAAGTCGAGAAAAAAATGAATGAAATACAGCCACAGAATCGAGGTCTTTTTAGGTTACTAAAAGAGTTGTACGATTCCAATACTGACCAGAGCGCGCTGCATTGGACCTTCCTCTTTCGAATGAGATGTCATCCGACCCAAAAGCTGCTCATATAAGGACAAAATCTCTTATTTCGGAATTGCATTCCCACAAGCGAGTTCCGCCATTACATGGGTAATAGCAGAGCAAGTCACGTGACAAATTTAGTTCAGGCAGTCGCTACGAGATGGCGCCTAATCAAGAGGGCTGTGAAGGTGAAACCATACCAAAGTGAAGCGTTAGCTTCGATACATAGGCCCGTCGCCCTCCACCCCGAGAAAGCCAGATGTTGATAACCTAACCCATACTTCGATTCTGCGGCTGTATTTCGTTCATTTTTTCCTCGACTTTCGACGTTTATATTAATAAATGTGAACAGAATCACGTTCGATTTTGACCAGAGCGCACTGCATTGGACCTTCCTCTTTCGAATGAGACTTCATCCGACCGAAAAGCTGCTCATATAAGGACAAAATTTCTTGTTTCGAAAACCCATATTTCGGGCCGAATTGTGTCGGTATACCGCGCGCTGCATTGCTCGTGCCTGCCTATCTCCCTCGGTGTCTTTCAATCATCGATTCATTTTTGCTCATTTATTATTGACAATAAATTCAACATAGACTCTCCCACGAAGCGGGATCTATGCAGGTGATTCAGTATTGGAATCGTACAACTCTTTTAGTAACCTAAAAAGACCTCGATTCTGTGGCTGTATTTCGTTCATTTTTTTCTCGACTTTCGACGTTTATATTAATAAATGTGAACAGAATCTCGTTCGATTTTGACCAGAGCGCACTGCATTGGACCTTCCTCTTTCGAATGAGACTTCATCCGGCCAAAAAGCTGCTCATATAAGGACAAAATTTCTTGTTTCGAAAACCCATATTTCGGGCCGAATTGTGTCGGTATACCGCGCGCTGCATTGCTCGTGCCTACCTCCTTCGGTGTCTTTCAATCATTGATTCATTTTTGCTCATTTATTATTAACAATAAATCCAACATAGAGTCTCCCACGAAGCGGGATCTATGCAGGTGATTCAGTATTGTAATCGTACAACTCTTTTAGTACCCTAACCCATACCTCGATTCTGCGGCTGTATTTCGTTCATTTTTTCCTCGACTTTCGACGTTTATATTAATAAATGTGAACAGAATCTCGTTCGATTTTGACCAGAGCGCACTGCATTGGACCTTCCTCTTTCGAATGAGACCTCATTCGACCGAAAAGCTGCTCATATAAGGACAAAATTTCTTATTTCGACATAATTGAGTACATCGAAATCGACAGTAATGACGGCGAACTTCCTTAGCGTCTAACGTAGTGAAATAAAGAACGCTAGTGTGAGCCTTTCCTTCTTGCTCTTGTAAAAGAGAAACAACTGAAATACGACCTCGCGATAAGCGGCATACGATTCCAAGCCTCGACTGCCCCAGCATTTTTACTTTCCGACCTATGTAAGGTATGTATAAGGAAATTTATGAAGTATAATAATGTAAAAAAAATGTCGAAATTTTTTTTTAGCGGAAATACACGTTTTAGGACCCCCTGATCATATTGTGACTATTAAAAAAAAAGACTTTTTTTTTGTTCCTATTACATATAAACGGCTGAATGTATTTCAATGAAACTTTACATTTCAGTTTTATGTTCTCGTTTCAAGGTCTGATTAGATTTTGAGCGTGATCAGCCCCCGGATAATGATGATTATACGACTTTTAGTTTTATAATTATTTCGATACATATACATTATTTGTAACAAATTTTGGCAATTATTTAGAAAAGGGGGAGGTCTCACCGATTTTGATGATTTTTGAATATGTTGTAAAAATCAACATTTTGAACAACTTTTTCCTATACATATAACCACCGCTTGGCCTTATTTTTCGAGATTTTTCTTCAAAAAGATTGCTGCTACTGCAATGAATTTTGTCTATATGTACATGTCCGTGACTCTGTATGCGTCAGTCCACGATCGCCGATTTTTTCTCTTGTTTGTGACAAGAAATAATGCACAATGTGTGAAGCTAAATCTAGTTCTGTATTGCTGTCAAAGGTTCGAATATTCCGAAGTATGGAACTCGCCAAATACATTATGTAGGCTATTTAGCTGAATTCTTCTTCCATCGACAATATGATTTTAATGATCGAATAATGAAATGTTTCCCACTTCTGATAATATCAATAGAGAAAATTGAAATAGAAAATGAATACGTGGCCGACCGCCTTACGGCGGCCGGTATAAGAAAATCTAACCCAGACCTAATCCATTATATTAGTTACTAGGTAGAATAATTAGGTTTATAAGGGTTAGATGTTTTTATGCCGGCTGCCGTTAGGCACACCCATTGTCGGCCGCCTCGATGCATCTATAGAAACAATGAACAATCGGCGATTGAACGCTTGCACACACGCTGCCACAGCATGTACTTACGTATAGATAGAATTCATTGTAGTAGCAGCGATCTTTTTGAAGAGAAATCTCTGAAACTAAGGCCGAGCGGCGGTTATATGTATAGGAAAAAGTTGTTCAAAATGTTGATTTCTATAACATATTCAAAAATCACCGAAATCGGTGTTACCGTCCGTAATCTAAATAATTACCCACATTTAATATTTAATAATCGTCAAGCACAAATTACTACAGAAAGTTATCGATTCCATATGGATCTCGGAGTCGATCAAGTTTTGAATCGGCCAATAGTTTTGTGAGTTTGGAGTCTGACAATACTTTCCAGGTTTTCAAATGTTTCCAATCCGGCTAGAGCGCGCACGCGTTACCTCTCTACTTGCGCGAATATTCAAAGTATGTGTTGCAGCTTTTCGCTACATTATTGTCTACAATTTCATACCCTACATTATTCACGAAAATAAATGTTACTTTATTTTGTACAGTAAAATTTTCAAATGAATGCATAGTAATCAAGTTTTTTTGGAAACATTATTGTGGAAGATTTTAGAGTGGGGTTGCATGTTGATTAAAATAAAATATTGCCGCGAAAGTCTTCTTCATTTATATACGCGCTTCGTGGGAGAGTCTATGTTGAATTTATTGTCAATAATAAATGAGCAAAAATTAATCGATGATTGAAAGACACCAAGGGAGATAGGCAGGCACGAGCAATGCAGCGCGCGGTATACCGACACAATTCGGCCCGAAATATGGGTTCTCGAAACAAGAAATTTTGTCCTTATATGAGCAGCTTTTCGGTCGAATGAGGTCTCATTCGAAAGAGGAAGGTCCAATGCAGTGCGCTCTGGTCAAAATCGAACGAGATTGTGTTCACATTTATTAATATAAACGTCGAAAGTCGAGGAAAAAATGAACGAAATACAGCCGCAGAATCGAGGTATGGGTTAGGGTACTAAAAGAGTTGTACGATTCCAATACTGAATCACCTGCATAGATCCTGCTTCGTGGGAGACTCTATGTTGGATTTATTGTTAATAATAAATGAGCAAAAATGAATCGATGATTGAAAGACACCGAAGGAGGTAGGCACGAGCAATGCAGCGCGCGGTATACCGACACAATTCGGCCCGAAATATGGGTTTTCGAAACAAGAAATTTTGTCCTTATATGAGCAGCTTTTCGGTCGGATGAGGTCTCATTCGAAAGAGGAAGGTCCAATGCAGTGCGCTCTGGTCAAAATCGAACGAGATTCTGTTCACATTTATTAATATAAACGTCGAAAGTCGAGGAAAAAAGTCGTGGACTGACGCATACAGAGTCACGGACATGTACATATAGACAAAATTCATTGCAGTAGCAGAAATCTTTTTGAAGAAAAATCTCGAAAAATAATGCCAAGCGGTGGTTATATGTATAGGAAAAAGTTGTTCAAAATGTTGATTTTTACAACATATTCAAAAATCATCAAAATCGGTGAGACCTCCCCCTTTTCTAAATAATTGCCAAAATTTGTTACAAATAATGTATATGTATCGAAATAATTATAAAACTAAAAGTCGTATAATCATCATTATCCGGGGGCTGATCACGCTCAAAATCTAATCAGACCTTGTGTTCGGTAAACGAAAGCTCGCTCATTCCGCTGGCCAACTCAAGTTGTTTCCGGTCCTTTATGTTGCCAGATGCGGGATCGGTACTACGTTGCAAACGTCTTCGAGTCTCTCGCATCTGGCAAATGTCAATGTAAAAGAATAGCATTTTTGGAAAACGAAAGAAACGCGACACTCGAGTTGACCAGCGAAGGGCTATATTGTTCCGCGGGTGGTACGGTCGTCGAGGCCAAATGTAGGCACCGACGACAAAGGCCACCGCCGACACGCGGAACAATATAGCCATAAAAGCAGACGTAGACCAGACGCAACCCCTTGTTGCGTGGATAATCCGGAGTTCCGTTTCTTCCTCGATAAATTAACGCGGCCGTCGACTTGGGGAGGAAACCTCGGCCACCCTCGCCAGCGTGGCCTGGGACTTTCCTCCACCACCGAGGTGAAGGAGGAGCTTGCTGCCAAACTGGGGCAGGAAAATGGGTCCTCCTCTCCCAAGTCGATGGCCAATCAATCGACTCACGATTCCACAGAGGAATTTGCAAAACACCCCCAAGTGTACCTCTTGGAGGGGATCTAAGCTGAGGAGGAAACGGACTCCGGACACATTGGGCATTCTAGTTTCAGTCGTCAACCGACAAACCAGGTTCATTCTAGTTTCAGTCGTCAACCGACAAACCAGTTTTCAATTCTCGGTTCAGTCGTTAAGCGACTAAGTCTAACAAGTCTAACTAACAAGTCTGTAACAGTACAGCAGTTTTACTTGAGTTGAACGCATTTTGATAAAGTAAGCGCGGGGGAAACAGTTCCTCCCACAGTTCAACGCGCTTGAAAACATTCATACAGTCCACTTTGTTATTATTAAAAATAAACCATTTGAAACCTCTCCAACACGATTAACACTCGATCCAGGCTGATCCTTTGGGGATGAACTTTCATCCTCCGTAGGCAAAATGCAAATTTTTGCCACAGGTCGCTTTATGACTCCATCGGCTGTCCGGATGGAAACGACTCTGGTGATCTGGTCAGTGCCTGGGTGTAGAGCCGTGATTCTTCCTAGTTTCCATCTTAGAGGAGGGAGACTAGCGTCTTTGATGACGACCATCGTGCCCACTCCGAATCCTTCTGGTACAGCGATTTTCCATTTATGTCGCTGTTGCAGCTGATGGAGGTATTCCAACTGCCACCGTTTCCAAAAGTGCTGCGACATTGCTTGGAGTAGCTGAAACCGACTTAAACGAGTAGGTTTGACGTCAGTGACGTCAGGATATGGAAGGTCCATGAGTGGGCTGCCGGTGAGGAAGTGACCAGGAGTGAGGGGATTCAGATCTGTGGGATCGGTTGATACAGGACATAGTGGCCGAGAATTCAAACACGCCTCTATCTGCGCCAGAACAGTGGCCAGTTCTTCAAATGTTAGCCGAGTTTCCCCAACGACTCGAGTCAAAAGCCGTTTCGCGGACTTCACGCAGCTCTCCCACAATCCCCCGAAATGTGGAGAGTATGGTGGGATAAAATGCCACTGCATACCCTCAGTGACCGTAAATTCAGAGAGGGTATCCCTTCGTTTTTGGTCTGCAAAGAACTCTTTGATTCTCTGCATTTCATTGCGTGCTCCTACAAAATTGGTGCCGTTGTCTGAATATATTTCGCGACACCGGCCTCTTCGCGCAACAAACCGTTTCAACGCATTTAAAAAGGCATCCGTCGATAAATCTGAAGCTACTTCTAAATGGACGGCCTTTGTGGCTAAGCAAATAAACACGCAAAGGTAGGCTTTAGTCGTCGTCTTGCTACGGACCCTTTCTTTCAGGTAGAACGGACCCGCGTAATCGACACCGGTAGAAAAGAACGGCGGTCTTATTCGTATTCTCGGTGCAGGCAACTGCCCCATCAGGTAGCTGGTACCCTTTGGCGCAGCTCTATTACATTTAACGCAGGTTCGGATTATCCCCTTGGTCAGATTGCGTCCCGTCAATGGCCAATACCGCGTTCGAACCATTGATAATACCGTTTCGCAACCGGCATGTAAAACGCGTTCATGTGCACGACGAATAATCATTCGCGTGACATGGTGATTCTTCGGTAGAATCACTTGGTGTTGTTGGTAGTATTTTAGCTCCGCATTGGCAAGCCTACCGCCCACCCTAATGAGCCCCTTGTCGTCAATAAATGGGTTTAATGACCGCAGCGGGCTATTGGATGTCACTGTTTGGTTTTTACGCAAGTCAGACAGTTCTTGCGTAAATGCATTACCTTGTACTAATCGGAGGATGACTACCTCTGCAAGATCAAGATCCTGCACCGTCAATTGAGTGCTCCACGGGCGAGTGGTGCGATTGTTACGAAGACTCACTCTATGTTTTACTGTGTGATAGAATTTTAAGCAGTACGCAATCACACGGAGCAAACGTGTGTAGTTTGAGAATTTTAATAGGAACCCCGGTACTTGGGATGCGATTTCCCTTATTACAATACAAGAAATGGCCCTTTCTTCAGGAACTTCTGCTGGGATATACCCAGTGATTGGCCATTCCGTTGATGGCTGTGCGAGCCATGATGGACCGTTCCACCAAAAAGATAGCTTGTCCAAAGCGGAAGGCTTGACTCCCCGCGACAATAAATCAGCTGGGTTGTCCCCAGAAAGTACGTGGTTCCATGGTCCCGTCGAAAGTGTTTGAATCTCAGAAACCCTGTTCGCTACAAAGGTTTTCCATCGGTTCGGGGACCCCTTGATCCACGCTAGTGCTATCATTGAATCGGTCCAATAGAATTCTTGGACCTTTTGACTGCGGGACGCTACTCGAACCTTATTCACAAGTTGCGCTAGTAATAATGCCCCACATAATTCCAAGCGAGGAAGGCTTATTGTTTTAAGCGGTGCCACGCGTGTCTTTGCGCAGAGGAGCTGTGTCAATGCTTTGCCCGTTTCTGAAATCGTGCGCAGGTAGATGCACGCCCCAAATGCCCGTTCGGAGGCATCGCAAAACCCATGCATCTCTACCTGCACAGGATTCGGGCACAATACGCACCGAGGAATTGCGAGCCGTGTTAATGACCTGAGGTCCGCATAAAAATCATGGAACTCGGAATGAATCGCTTGTGGTACGGATTCATCCCATGAGAGTTTTAATTGCCATAGCGACTGTATAATTAGTTTTGCCTGGATGATGACAGGCGCCACTAACCCAAGCGGATCAAAAATTTTGGATACTTCGGATAGAATTGTTCTTTTCGTAGTCCGTAAGACTGGTTGAGATTCTACACTGACTCGCAACTCATCGGTGCATGGTTCCCACAGTAGTCCAAGAGTCTTTGGGTCCTTTTCTGCTTGTAAATTCAGATCTCTGGATTCCGTTAGAACCTCTTGAACCACTGCCGGAACATTTGAGGCCCACTTTCTAAGTGGTAGGCCTGAAGATTGCAATATTTTCTCAAGTGATACTTTAATTTCTATTGCTTGTTCTACTGTTTCCGCGCCCGTTAGCAAGTCATCCACGTAGAAGTCGTGGATGATGATATTACTTATTACTGGATCTAGATGAGACTGATCCAATCCAATTTGCCGAAGGACGCAGGTCGCTAAAAACGGCGCGGACGCAGTGCCGTATGTAACCGTATTCAATTCGTACGTTTCTAATGGGAGCGTAGGTTCTTCGCGCCATAGAATCCGTTGAAAAACTCGCTGCTCGGGAGCGACTAAAATCTGCCGATACATCTTGGCGATGTCGGCGCTCAAAATAATCTGATGCTGTCTGAATCTAATGAGTATGGAAAATAGATCGTCCTGAACAACAGGACCGATCTCTTGAGTATCATTTAAAGAATATCCGGAACTGGTTTTCGCGGATCCGTCAAATACAACGCGCATCTTGGTCGTTGTGCTTGCTGCCTTTGTCACCGCATGGTGTGGCAGGTAATAGGCAGGACCGGCCTGCGTTCGAGAGTCCCGACTTACCTGAGTCATATGACCCAGTGCGAGGTATTCGCTCATAAAAGACACGTATTCTGCTTTCAGAACAGGTGTCCTGTTCAATTTTCTTTCCAAGCCGAAGAACCTACGCTCCGCCATGGAATATGAATCGCCGAGCTTTGCCAGGTCCGAGTTAAACGGAATCGTAACAATAAACCGGCCGTCGGAGTCTCGCTTTACCGTCTCATTAAAATGCTCCTCGCACGGGTGAGCTGGAAGGTGACCGAGTGTTGGGATTTGTTCGATATCCCAAAATCGAGTTAATTGTGAATTTAATTGATCATTCGTGACTACATTGCACGACTGCGACTCCGCGTTGAGCGACGCCCGAATTTTCCCACCGAAAACCCATCCGAACTGGGATTTGAGCAATACCGGAAGACCCTGTCCCAGGCGTTTCTGTCCTACGCTCATTATCTCCCACAAATGCCCATTCCCTATTAGCATGTCTACATCACGCGGTTTGTCAAAGGATGGATCTGCTAATCTGACATTTGCAGGGATGTTCAATGCTGATTTGGCGATTTTAAAATTGGGAATATCGGAAGTGATCTTTTGCATCAGTATGCATGACATCGTAGTTGAATATCCGTTTTGCCGCGATTGTATTGTAACGCGAGCCTTACCCTGAGCGCGTTTACCTGCGTCCGCGGCCCCTACCCCCGAGATCGCTAATTGGGTCGGTTTACAACTCAAGCCGACAAATTTCGCAAATGACTTTTTTATGATATTTACTTGCGAGCCTTGGTCGAGTAACGCCCTACATTCAAATTTTTGTCCCTTGTCGTTGAGGACATGTATAATAGCCGTGGATAAAAGAACATGCTCCTTTCCCGACGAGTCATGAGTTGCATAACTCTGAGGGGGCGTATTATTTACTGCATTTGCTATACTAACGACGGGATCTGCAACCACGGGATCTACGGTAGGCGTCAAGTCATTTTTTAAATGAATCAACGTATGATGGTTGCCGTTGCATTTGTGGCAATTCCCCTTGTTGCAGGTGTTTGAACCATGACCTGGTCGCAGGCAATTAAAACAAATACGGAATTCTTTGACCTTCATAAACCGAGCGTACGGAGTCAAAGCTTTAAACCGTTTGCATTGTGTGAGAGGATGATCCGACGAACATAATGGGCATTCTAAACTTTGCATGCTAACCAGCGTCATGGGGTGAGGTTGCGGTTTCTGACCTGGGTTCCTATTTTTCGGAGGGAACGGACCCGGAGGTATTACTCGAACTGACTTTATTAGGATTTTGTACTGCTTTTCGAGAAATGTCTGTAAATCTGCCAACGTTTTCTTACGGCCTATTTCCGCGACCCGTTTATCCCACGCTTCGCTCGTTTTCCGGTCGAGTTTGGTCGCTAATAAATGGACCAAGATCGTGTCCCATTTTTCGACGGGTTCCTCCAGCGAGGTTAAGGATTTTAAATTGTTGTTAAAGTCGTCTAAAAGTTGCCTCAGACTCGCCGGTGAGTCCTTTGGCAACGTCGGCAAGTCGAACAATGCACCGACGTGGAAATCGATTAATTCATTTGTGTCTTCGTAACGCTCGCACAAGAGCTTCCACGCGGCCGTGTAGTTTTCATCTGACATCGGTAATGCTTTCAATGCCCGAGCAGCGTCTCCCTTTACTGCTGATCTCAAATAGTGAAACCGTTCGATATTGCTTAACACGGTATTTTGGTTTATCAATGATTCGAAGCTGTCTCGAAAATAGACCCATTCTCCGACCGTCCCGTGAAAACTGGGCAACGGAACTGACGGCAATCTAACCGAGGGTGCCGCTACGGAGGCTGTGGGTGATGCAGCATCTACACGAAACGTCTGTTGCGCGGTAGAGCTCGGATTCGGAACCGGAGCACGCTTAGCCGAAACATGTTCGCGAACCGCGCCTATGATATCGAAATACGCGTTTTCGAACGCCTCGCGAATTTGATTTTGCGTGTGTTCTTCCGGTGTCCCGGCGGTGATCGCATCGATGCGATCCTGAATCGACTCAAATCTATCGAGTAAATGGAGATTTCTGTGCAACCGTTCCTCCAATGCAGCAGCCCCGGTGGTTGCTCGCTGCGTCTCGAAACATGTCTTAAATCGCGTGAGCGACGATTTAACGCGACCGCGTTCCTCGACTAACTTATTCAAAGTATCCTCTCGTGGGGTGGCCATTGTTCAGCGCAAAATGAGAAGTAAATGAAAACTCGACTCACCGGACGTAGACAAGAATCTGCACAGGACTCGCTTAGACGGCCTCTGCAATTCTCCAGGAATCGGTGGTCCTGTTGTCGTGCCCTTGGACTGCTCCTTGGTGAGCTGGACTCGTAGAAGCGTCTGTCACTTCCTGGTCCACTGGATGAAGCGGCTGTCGCTTCCTGGGTAGCTGCACGAAGCGCCTGTCGCCTCCTTGGTAGCTGAATGAAGCGTCTGTCGCCTCGTAGGTTGCGGAATGAAGCGCCTGTCGCCTCGTAGGTATACTGCCACACTGGCAGTTATCCTCTCTCGTTCACGAACGTGATGGGTCACACGATACGGCGACTGTCCCCGTATCACACTCTTTGCAATCGAGTGTACTCTCAATCCAGGATCCGGCTCGAAGGACCAATGATCGCGCCCGAAATGTTGCTGGTCGGATTGGAGTGTTAATCGTGACACAAAAAACAATGAATCCGCGGCAGCCGAGCCTGCATGTGTATAAACTTTCTCAATGTTAAGTGTAGTAGAATATTTAGATTTACGTTGCAAGATCATCAACCATTGTACCATTTGTAAATAGTAGCGTAGGATGCCTTGCAATCGAATTAGATATAGATATGTGTTAAACTAGTACACTACCACTGTTGTTTGTTCCATGTTTTTGGTATTTATTGATATTTCTTTTGAACGACAGCCGTTCAAGGTGAGCGGCATGTTCGGTAAACGAAAGCTCGCTCATTCCGCTGGCCAACTCAAGTTGTTTCCGGTCCTTTATGTTGCCAGATGCGGGATCGGTACTACGTTGCAAACGTCTTCGAGTCTCTCGCATCTGGCAAATGTCAATGTAAAAGAATAGCATTTTTGGAAAACGAAAGAAACGCGACACTCGAGTTGACCAGCGAAGGGCTATATTGTTCCGCGGGTGGTACGGTCGTCGAGGCCAAATGTAGGCACCGACGACAAAGGCCACCGCCGACACGCGGAACAATATAGCCATAAAAGCAGACGTAGACCAGACGCAACCCCTTGTTGCGTGGATAATCCGGAGTTCCGTTTCTTCCTCGATAAATTAACGCGGCCGTCGACTTGGGGAGGAAACCTCGGCCACCCTCGCCAGCGTGGCCTGGGACTTTCCTCCACCACCGAGGTGAAGGAGGAGCTTGCTGCCAAACTGGGGCAGGAAAATGGGTCCTCCTCTCCCAAGTCGATGGCCAATCAATCGACTCACGATTCCACAGAGGAATTTGCAAAACACCCCCAAGTGTACCTCTTGGAGGGGATCTAAGCTGAGGAGGAAACGGACTCCGGACACATTGGGCATTCTAGTTTCAGTCGTCAACCGACAAACCAGGTTCATTCTAGTTTCAGTCGTCAACCGACAAACCAGTTTTCAATTCTCGGTTCAGTCGTTAAGCGACTAAGTCTAACAAGTCTAACTAACAAGTCTGTAACAGTACAGCAGTTTTACTTGAGTTGAACGCATTTTGATAAAGTAAGCGCGGGGGAAACAGTTCCTCCCACAGTTCAACGCGCTTGAAAACATTCATACAGTCCACTTTGTTATTATTAAAAATAAACCATTTGAAACCTCTCCAACACGACGACATCGCATCACTCCAATCCGACCTACAACAATTCGGGCGCGAACACCTTGAAACGAGAACATAAAACTGAAATGTAAAGTTTCATTGAAATTCATTCAGCCGTTTATATGTAATAGGAACAAAAAAAAAGTCTTTTTTTTTAATAGTCACAATATGATCAGGGGGTCCTAAAACGTGTATTTCCGCTAAAAAAAAATTTCGACATTTTTTTTACATTACAGTGAAAACTCGATAAATGTCGCTACTCCGGGTCCGGTCAGCAACACTTACGTTATAGCAGAATCGTCTTTCGAATTTGATTGTAGTTTGCCGACGCTTCGAACGTAGAAAGAGTCAGTAGCTAAAGAAGAAAGAGGGACTGAAACTCGGATTTATCGCCCCAGTTTAAATATTCGCGTCAGTGTGACCACACTACTGCACAGAAGAAAGTTTTTTATTTTTTACTTTTTGTTAATAAAAATTTCACTATCATATGGGCGAAATTTTTCTGATTAAAATGAGACTAAACACGATATAAATCGGTCAATATTTGGTAGCATAATATTGAATTAAATATTGTACTTGCGAGTCTTTCTCTCTTTATTTATCCTTCGTGTGCTGTCCTTTTCTATATTCGGAAACATCAAAGAACGACGGATCAAGGTGCTGGCTACATTTATCGAATGGGAGGTAGCTATTTTCAAACGGAACGCTTCCACCGTTCCGTAAGTGATCAAAAACTGCAACACTTATGAGATAGGAGGTTTCGTTAGCTACCTCTGTTCGATAAATGTACTATCCACTGACCTTGCGAAGATACGAGTACACAATATTTAATTCAATATTATGGTAACAAATATTGGCCGATTTATATCGTGTTTAGTCTCATTTTAATTAGAAAAATCTTCCCCACATGATAGTAAAATTTTTATTAAAAAAAAGTAAAAAATAAAAAACTTTCTTCTTGTACAGTAGTGTGGTCACACTGACAGGGACATTTAAACTAAGTGACGAAGGCAATAAAGATTTTTAAAGAAAGCCGCTACGTCTCCGGTTACACTTCGCCTCACTGGTTCAAGGGGGATCCCCCTAGTGGTGGGGATAAAAATGTATCATTTATGGAACAGCTCTTGAGGACATTTATCGAGTTTTCACTGTATTATACTTCATAAATTTCCTTATACCTTACATAGGTCGGAAAGTAAAAATGCTGGCGCAGTCGAGGCTTGGAATCGTATGCCGCTTATCGCGAGGTCGTATTTCAGTTGTTTCTCTTTTACAAGAGCAAGAAGGAAAGGCTCACACTAGCGTTCTTTATTTCACTACGTTAGACGCTAAGGAAGTTCGCCGTCATTACTGTCGATTTCGATGTACTCAATTATGTCGAAATAAGAAATTTTGTCCTTATATGAGCAGCTTTTCGGTCGGATGAGGTCTCATTCGAAAGAGGAAGGTCCAATGCAGTGCGCTCTGGTCAAAATCGAACGAGATTCTGTTCACATTTATTAACATAAACGTCGAAAGTCGAGGAAAAAATGAACGAAATACAGCCGCAGAATCGAAGTATGGGTTAGGTTGTCAGCATCATGCTTTCTCGGGGGGGGGGGGGGGGGGGGGCCTATGTATCGAAGCTAACGCTTCACTTTGGTATGGTTTAACCTACACAGCCCTCTTGATGAGGCGCCTTCTCGTAGCGACTGCCTGAACTAAATTTGTCACGTGACTTGCTCTGCTATTACCCATGTACATAATGGCGGAACTCGCTTGTGGGAATGCAATTCCGAAATACGGGATTTTGTCCTTATATGAGCAGCTTTTCGGTCGGATGAAGTCTCATTCGAAAGAGGAAGGTCCAATGCAGTGCGCTCTGGTCAAAATCGAACGAGATTCTGTTCACATTTATTAACATAAACGTCGAAATTCGAGGAAAAAATGAACGAAATACAGCCGCAGAATCGAGGTCTTTTTAGGTTACTAAAAGAGTTGTACGATTCCAATACTGAATCACCTGCATAGATCCCGCTTCGTGGGAGAGTCTATGTTGAATTTATTGTCAATAATAAATAAATGAGCAAAAATGAATCGATGATTGAAAGACACCGAGGGAGATAGGCAGGCACGAGCAATGCAGCGCGCGGTATACCGACACAATTCGGCCCGAAATATGGGTTTTCGAAACAAGAAATTTTGTCCTTATATGAGCAGCTTTTCGGTCGGATGAGGTCTCATTCGAAAGAGGAAGGTCCAATGCAGTGCGCTCTGGTCAAAATCGAACGAGATTCTGTTCACATTTATTAATATAAACGTCGAAATTCGAGGAAAAAATGAACGAAATACAGCCGCAGAATCGAGGTATGGGTTAGGTTGTCAGCATCATGCTTTCTTGGGGTGGGGGGCGACGGGCCTATATATCGAAGCTAACGCTTCACTTTGGTATGGTTTCACCTTCACAGCCCTCTTGATTAGGCGCCATCTCGTAGCGACTGCCTGAACTAAATTTGTCACGTGACTTGCTCTGCTATTACCCATGTAATGGCGGAACTCGCTTGTGGGAATGCAATTCCGAAATAAGAGATTTTGTCCTTATATGAGCAGCTTTTGGGTCGGATGACGTCTCATTCGAAAGAGGAAGGTCCAATGCAGCGCGCTCTGGTCAGTATTGGAAGCGTACAACTCTTTTAGTAACCTAAAAAGACCTCGATTCTGTGGCTGTATTTCATTCATTTTTTTCTCGACTTTCGACGTTGATATTAATAAATGTGAACACAATCTCGTTCGATTCTGACCAGAGCGCACTGCATTGGACCTTCCTCTTTCGAATGAGACCTCATTCGACCCAAAAGCTGCTCATATAAGGGCAAAATCTCTTATTTCGAAACCCCCTATTTCGGGCCAAATTGTGTCGGTTTACAGCGCGCTGCATTACCCGTGCCTACCCCCAAACGTGTACCACAAATGTTTTAGAATAATGTGCAAAATGTGATTACGATTTTCGCTAAGACAAATTGAAAACTCGGTTCTAACAAGGAAAAGTTGGAATGGTACCCGATTTTGGGTTAGGTTTTACTTTGAGATATTAATAAAGTTATTACAGATACTTATCTTCAGAAATAGAAATACATTCAACAACCAGCGTGGCGTGAATGACAAGGTATTTGCCTGCAAGTTCCGAGCTTCTTCTGCTCTGCAGGTTCAAACCCTGCCAAAACAAATCCTTTTTTTTTATTTTTTCAATCATATTTTAATCGTACACTAAATGTGACATTATATTTTTGTCTGACCTTCGAATAATTTTTTTTTAAAATTGAATTTAACATATGTTATTTTCAATGTACGAAGTACATGAATTTGGATGGTACTTTTCGTAAAAACAGTGAAAACATAACAATTTCAAGCACCACCTACATCTAATGACAGTTCTGTTTTCACAGAAATAACAAAATTTTGTATCTAACTCTGATGGAAAGGCCGCTTCATTTACATTGATAAAATGTGAACGATTTTCGGATAGTCGTACCTTGTAGCTCGTACTTTTTACCTTATACTTCAGGTAAAAAGGGATATAGCTGGGAAAAACAGTTTTATGACATTACCTGCTAACTTATGTTACTGTTCTACAATGAAACGCTATGTTTTGTACCTTTAAAAATATTCGACTATGTCCTTTTAAAATTTAAGATACAACCCATACTTTGTATTAAACTGGCAAACGGGATCACTTTTCCTTTGTTTCTAGTTAGTTCTATTTAGTTTGTCATAACAAATTGATACGGTTATCTCAAAACAATCGAGGAAAATCATTATTAATTAATTTCTGCAATTATTAATTCTACTGTTTTGTTTATGTTATAAAAGTAAGAACTCTTCTTATTGAAAAATACCACAGCGTGCACAATACTGGTAAAGAGTGGAATCTCATTTTAATTTATTAATTTTCAATCTTAAAGTATTTTGATTTTGAAAAATCGTATTAATAATATATGTACATATGTACGCTCATACATGGGACTAATAAAAAAAATTTCTTTTTTTTCAATAATTAAAATATGATCAGGAGGTCTTAAAACGTGTATTTCCGTAAAATAAATTTTACAAAATTTTTTTTTCATTATGGGTACTTTGCTTATGTGCGCCTACATAGGTCGGAAAGTAAAAATGCCTGGGCAGTCGAGAATCTCGGCTCGAGAATCCAAATCGTATGCCGTTGACGGGAGGTCGGATTTCAGTTGTTTAGAGCGAGAAGGCAAATGTGAGCCTTTCTCTCTCGACTCCCACGAGGCGATCCGAAATTACTTCGGGCAGCTTCGGAGAATCGAGAAAGAGGGCATGCGTCAGTTTGCCTTTATCGACTTTCCGAAACTCCACGAGCTCACGTACGCGTATCTGGCATGTGGCGTGTGCACCCGACGGTGCTTTTCTGGCATCTCTGCTCGAGGGCCATCCACGACAGCAGCGCTACGTGGAACACCTTCGCCAGATCGGCACGCCACCCCCGGAGGAATAATAAACCAAATAAATCTAGGGGAATCCTTTTTGCCAACGCCGACGGATTCCGAACGTAACAACATACTAATAGAAATTTTATCTTTGTTACGTTATCACGTGAACATAGGTTTAATGCACATAGCGCCACAACGGGAATTAATTGTAACCCGATTATTCACCGTCGAGTGCAGAGTCATGTAACTGCGTTTTAGTTAAGAACGAATTTCAAACGGACCAGCGTATTGTAATAAACAATACGATTGTATATTTTTCAACGTGGGCGATCAAGCTGGGGAAGGTAGAGAGAAAGGAAGGCACTTCTTTTCAGATACTTAGTTTATTTTCTAAAGGCCGCGTCGATTTCGAGGTTCCATCGTTCCTTTAGTTTATTGTTTAGTTATTACGGACCGTGACCGATTAGCTATTTCCAATAAGAGTTTCAATGGTCTTGACACGCAGCAGGGCCTCGCGACATTTCGCTTCGAATTTCGTTTACTCTCATAAGGGTCATAAATTTTCTTAAGGGTTGCTTAGGCCGCTAGCCTCATTTTCTCTCTCGACTCCCACGCTCTCTCTCACGCGCGCCGCTCCAACATGGCCGCGAAACCTCCACCTCCACTCGGCTCGGGGGTGGATCATCGATCGAAGACGATCCGGATGGAGGGAGCAAGGCACGAACCCCGATTGGACCAGGACAATCCAGAGGGAGGATCAAGGAATATTCCGGAGAAGGGATGAACACCGAGGACGACGAGAAGATTTCCGCGGAGGAGCAGATCGATTTTGAGAGTCAACAGAATTGTATCTAAAATCAAGCTTAAGACGAATAAACTCTTACCAATCTTTTTCGAGCAATCAATAGTAGTTTGATTTTTGCGCGCCTCGCCGAGCAGAGCGGTTCAGCGCTCCACGGGCACCAACCCACCGTCCTTTCTCCCTAAACCGCTATCTCGGGACGTAACATCTTAATGCATTTGCGATAACTAAAATCGGTGTATGTGTGATTTAGCCTTAAAGGGAGATTCAATATAACAATGTGAACGGGTCGTAACGCGTGCACTAAGAAAGCCGCCACCGAACGTCGTTCTAAAAATCTTATTAAAATACAGAGCTCCACGTTCGAATATAAAAATGGAAACAATGACGAATCCTTATCCGAGAAAGATGCACGACAATTACGAGGATGAAGAGGAAAGGAAACACTTTCAACGCATCGTGTCGGCTTTCAAATATTACAAGTTAGTGAACTTCATCAAAAAATCGTTCTGTTTGCTTCGTTTTAATTCTCGAGTTGACGATTTCCTTTTATCTTTATTACCCTGAATTTTTTATTTTTTCTTCTTTACAATACGCGAACGATAACTCGGTACAATACCGTTCACGATTTTCCGGTTGTCGTTTAATATTTTCATCGATATTGCTTAACCTTCGATGATATGGTGCTGCACCATAATATTTTATTTGCAACGTCTCGTGGTTTATCTTGTAATTATAGAAATCGCGATTTGTATACTGTTATTAAATCGATGCTCATAGGACGAAAGTTCAACGATTTGTGTTCAACGCAAATTGTGTTAAAAGATTTTGAGATTTGTGCAATCAGATATGGCTACATGTAATTTGTCAAGTGTTGTTCTCCTGAAATCAGTATTAGTCTTCAACTAATAGTTGCATAACAGAAGCGTATAATGAATATTTTCCGTAAATGTAATTCTATGATAAGTATCTTTTATTTTGCAATCTGTTTTTTTTTTTGCAGAAATCACTCATTATTAAGGGTAAAAAGAACAGAGTCTTATTTGTTATCACTCCCAGCTCATCATCAGAAACTTCTGTCAAAATATAGGGAACATTTGCAAGAAGTTAAAAGATGTGTTGAGAACAATGATGAAATAATTAAACTCATCATAAAAGATGTGGCCCATATTTTTGAAAATGTGAGCCCAGCTAGTGCACAGACTGACAGTGTAAGAAAAATTTACATGGTGTGTGGCATGTATATTCTGTTGTACAATATTACATGTTTTTAACATTAAGAAATATTTTTATTAATCTCATTAAATAAAAAAAATCCATTTTTATCAATGTTACAAAATGATTAATATTTTATTTAACTTTATTAAAAAATAAAATTACCATCAAGTAATAAATACAATCATTTTCTTATGTTTCGTAGAATATAACCATTAACTTTGTTTAAAAAAATAATTCCTTATATTTTTAATAAGAAATTTTGGATCTATTTCTCAAGCTTGGATTTTTTCTTGTCATCTTAACAAGCTTCTTTTTTCATAACTATATATTCTATTGTACAAAATATAGGTAGGTCTGATTGCAGACACTAAATCCTCGTCCAATAATGGCTGATCAGGAAAAGGTTCAAGCTACAATTAAACAACTGGTCCGTGATTGGAGCGTGGAAGGAACTGAAGAACGCACAGCATGCTATCAACCTATTATAGATGAAATCTTGAATCAATTTCCCTTAGAGTATTGGTATGAACCCTTCAAATTCTATGAATAATTCGGATAGAAATAGAATGTTCTCTACCAGAATAGCTGTTGACATTTAGAATAGCTACTGTGTTATACTAAACCATTGTTCAGAAAAGTATGAAATGATAGGTAAATTTCCAGTACACCGTCGGAAGTGCAAGTACTAGTACCTGGAGCAGGTTTAGGGAGACTTGCATATGAAATTGCGCGACGCGGTTATACTTGCCAAGGAAATGAATTTTCTCTTTTTATGCTTTTTGCATCTCATTTTGTATTAAATAAGTGAGTATAATTTTTGGTTTTTTTTTTTTTACCAAATATTTCAAAATAAAACGGAGTTTATCAATAACTATTATTTTCAAGATGTAGGGGAGTAAATTCATACCAAGTACATCCTTGGGTACATCAGTATATGAACAATTTAAAGCCAGAACATCAAACTCAAGCTGTATTCTTTCCTGACGTAAATCCTAGCGATCTTCCGGAAAACGCGCAATTTTCAATGGCAGCGGGAGATTTTCTAGAGGTAGGATTCATGATACATAAAAAGAAAAGTAAATGTAATAAGAATTCGTTTTCTACATTATAGGTTTATACGGAGGACAATCATTGGGACTGTGTTGCAACATGTTTTTTCATAGATTGTGCGAACAATGTTGTACAGTTTATCGAAACAATCTATAAAATTCTGAAACCTGGGGGAGTATGGATAAATCTTGGACCATTACTGTATCACTTTAGCGACATGCCGATGGAAGATTCAATAGAACCGAGTTATGATGTTGTTCGTAATGTAATTCAAGGATTTGGCTTTCAATTAGAAGTAATTAATTTTCTGGTACTGTAAACAATACTATTTAACTTAATCTTACTGTATTTACTGTATTTTCAGAAGGAAGAAACACACGTGAGAACGCGCTATGCGCAAAATGTTAACAGTATGTTACAATGTGAATATAATAGCGTATATTTTGTTTGTCGAAAACCTAAAAGACGCATAGATCACGATACGAGTCATAGAAATGGCTCTGAAAGTAACGGTATACAAGAACAAGAAAATTAACTATCGACGACCTGATCCGTTTAACGCGTAAGGAACATTGATATAACTGTAAATGCATTACATAATAGTTTCATAACTACGAAAGCAAAGCTGTTATACTGTGTGAATACAAGTCAATATTAGGCAATTTAGAAAGGAAACGGAAATCTTTAAAGACGTTTAACAACTAAATTGATATTTTTTTATCAAAAATTTTATTTCATTATAAGTAATTAAATAAATTCGCTTTATTGTGAACAAATTGAATAATAAAATGGTATAATTATTTTTTTAAATATCAACGTATAAGTTGATTTTAATTCAAAATAGCGAATATTCTTCGATAACAGTTTTGCAATTTCCCTATTTAGTTCAATAATAGTAATTTAGCATAATCGTTAATTGTTTTAATTATTTACCAAATATCGTGATAATATAAAATAAAAGGAACTAGATTTGTTGCATGTGTTACTATGCAATATCCCCTGTTTGCAAAGCTCTCTTTCGTTTGCTTTATAGAAAAATTTGATTTAAGTGTCAGATATATCTTTTAAAGAATATTTACAAGTTTTTGCAGAAACCAGTGTTGCCTTATCTAGTTTTGTCTCAAATTGACGAATATTAGTACCCCAAGGGTACAATGTGAAAATTCTGATATTTTTCATTTTGGTGTTTTCTTTTGCTTTTTCTTTATTAATATATTTTTGCTAGGCTATAAAAAGTCGCACAAATTGAATTATCTATTTCAGAGCAGTTTATATCTGATGTTATGTTACTATGAAAAAGAAAGTTTGCCTTGCAATGCAGAAAACATGCAGGCAAAAATTAATTATAAAATAAGTTAGGCCTAACAATGTAATTAATATAATTTTTTATTAAAACATACACGATGGAAAATTCTGTTAATATATTTATTACCTTTTAGAAGATCATATTGCTTTAAAGCACTCAAGGTACAAAAAGAGACAGTGAAAAAAAAAAAAATGATACCAACATATTTCGTGCTTATAAACTTTTATTAAGATACTGTACAAATAATGCTGCAATTTGATTAACTTCAATTTGTTGCATTTTACTGTAAGTTAGAAATTGTCTTCGTAATCTCATAAGTTGTCCCTCCGTACATGAGTTCTGCACTGTTAAATTATAGTCAAGTATCTTAATTTCGTTTTCGATACCTAACTTTTTGGCTGACAATATTGCCTTTATAAAAGAAAACACGAAAATTTATAATTTATCGTACTTGTGTTATTTATGATTTCTTATCATTTGTAGTATCATAAGAGATTTTATCATGATTGATTAGGAAATAAAAATTTTTGAATAACTTACATTGACAACTTCTTGTGTTACTGAATTCAATTCATATAAATAATTTGTAGATGCTAATGGTGGCTGAAATATGTATAAAAATTTTCATAAATTTGGTATGAATGGTAACAAAGTCTAATTCACAGAGATAAAAGTACTAACACATTGTGTACTTAGATTGGGTTTTGGTGCTTTCACTTTATATAGCGATCCATAAATTTCATCAAACTTTAATTCATCTTCTGCAGAGATTGTAAATAATGGTGAATCCCAACGATCCTTACTATTTGGGGTTTCATACCTGTACATTGTATTATACACGTCTTATTACATTGCAATAGAAAGAACTCTTGTAATGTTCTAATTTACCTCATTACAAGAGCATCAAAAATTTCTCTATTATATTGTTCACATTCTGGACGTCTTTCATTCCACAGCCAAGCATGTTCTACTGGTATATCACAATGTACTGTACACTGAGGAGTTTTGTATAATTTTGTCATACAGTAAATTTCGTAACGATATCCTTTAATATAATTACTACCGTCGATTATTAATACATCGTTTACATTTAGCATTCGCTGTGTTGCAGACTTTATATCGCTTCTTACACTTTTTTCTTTTTTAGAATCTGCAGTAAATAGGAGCAACAATTTGAATTTGTTCCCATCGAAACGTAAAGATTGCAATAAAAAATAACATAAGGTGAAACCTAACCAGCGTAAAATGTATTTTTATCATAGCCAGATTTAATCACAACATCAATCTCATTAATTACGTCTACATTTTTCCCCGCTTTATTTTGAAAATATTCTTTTAATTCGTTACACCGTTTTGTTTTACCACTACAAGGTATACCAGTTATAATAATAAGCGGCATTATACAAATTCAGATTTGACAATTTACCATAAATGTCCTAATCAAACAGACGTAAGGAACTCTTGTAATTTTTCTGGCCCCTTCGTAGCGCCACAGGCGAAATGCTTCGGTACTAAAGAATTGTTACGTCCGTCCTCCGTCGACATTGGTAAAACGGATTTCCCTAGACTTACTTGGTTTACTATTCCTCCGGGGATGGTGTGCCGATCTGGCAAAAGTGTTCACGTAGTCCGTGGATCGCTCTCGGGGATCGGGGATATTGACGCGGTCAAGGCATTGGGGTGGCATCTCCATTGGGATGAGTCACCATGGGGGTGGCGTCGCTTCTTCTGCGGCAAGGCGGCCTTGCGAGTTGGACTTTCTTCTTCTGACTGACATTTTAACTGTCTATCTGACTGACTATTGACGCGCATTATTTCTGCTCCACATTAGGAGGAGACGTTCCTTTTATTTAATGTCTTTCGTTAAATTCTGAGTAATCAGAGGAGTGGAAGACCTTCCCTGTGCTCCAGTCTCCCTGCAATACCAGGTATCCCCGAGTATCACCGGCTGAGACTTCGCGCCCAGGAGGAGCTGCGTGCGCACGAGAGTGGCTCTCATTCAGCATGAGAAACTCTACTTACTGAGATATCGACAGCCTTAAAGTTTTCTGTGTGAGAACCACTATCAGCTGTACGCAGGTTGCCGTTCTACAGGCGGAATTTTAAACGTTAATAACTTTTTAACGAAGCCTCGATCAACAAATTGGTATTCTTGATTTTCGTCTTATTTTGGCTCCTAGAATCTCCCATTAAAATTTTTCCCAGGGTTGGCCGAACACCCTGTACATATATTTAGTGCTTGAGTAAATGTATGAGACATATCAGATCTTAATGAAATGCAAGAATTGTATCGTCGCATTTCAAAATTGTGCAATTAATCGATTCAGAAATTATTTCAATTTCGTATCAATCAAGTCTTGCTTGCCCATAGACGTGTATGACAAATCTTTCGAAATAGTACGTTTGAATATCGCTAAAGACTGGAATATATTCGAGTTTCAGCAAAATATCCTATTTCACGTGGTGTTAGTAAGATCTACTTGCGTAAAAGTTTGTTAAACAAAAATGCTAAACGAAGAGTCTAATTAAGAATCGATTTAACGTAACCGAAATTAGAACTAGACGAATTTAAAAACATTTAAAGATATTGTATATATCATTAATTAATCTTATTTTGATAAGATAAACTTAAGTATAGTTATCAAAATTTTGAAATGCTGTAAACACTTTTGCGTATTCATATATGCACGTACGTGTGCTACACACAGATAGTTGTCAGCAACAGGTTCTAGCTCCGTCCTCTTCTCGAACACCATCACCGATGGACTCCTTTCTTTTCCAGGATGGAGTACCGTACTGTGGCTTTAACCCGAGTGAAAGCTAATCTAAGTCAGTGCTCGAATAAGATTGGTTAAGAGGTAGCCGAACAATCGACAACGTCGCAAGTTCCCGGCCACGCATCTCGCGTATTTTCTCTGGTAAATCAGTGGATACTTGGCCAATAATCCGGCATTGGTTTCAACAATGAAGGCGTGCGGTTTCTTATCTTTACTCGCGATACTGTTTCTCTCTGTCAACAACACTCTATGTAAGTACCTATCGATACAATCAACATTGCTCGTTTATTTAAAAAAAAAAAAACATTTTAGAAATTGCAATAGTATCGTTGTCTCGTTTTAGCGAATCCTTTTCGTCCAAAGGGACTCGTCGTGTCTGTCGATCGTCGCTAAATGAAACGTTTTCTATTTAAACTAATATTTAACTATTCCCCTGGGAGCAATATTTTCCTACGACGTTTCCAAACGAAATTATTATGGCTGATCCAACGAAGGGCGACGAAAGCACGTACATTTTTATTTAATAATTTCATAATTCATTCGTCCAGAAACGATACTAAAGAAAGTCTGGAATGTGTGTTGACATTTTCTTCGATGCCTTGTGCAATGCAAATCTGACATTTAGAAATGACCCTCCGATTCGTTCCCCGAGAAACACAAGCCGATTTAACTTTCGATTTCCTGCGTTAGTCGTTGTTTAATTAATAATTTCGTCGACGATTTACGGTTATTAAAAAGTTCAGTGGATCGAGAGTAACAATTTTATCAATTACGTGTGACTTACGATATTTATGGAATTGCAAAAATTATTGTTATCAGGAAAAAGGTGCAATGTTTAAGATGTACTATAAAATAGAACAAGAACTCTTGTTTTAACAAATCATCGTAATTGCACAGTTTAAATCAATGAATGAAGAAGGATTTGATGTCCTCGACATTTGGTCGAATTCTAGCGTGAAAAATATAAATATTCGATAATTTTAATAACGAAAACATGAAACAGCATGGACGGATAGTCCAGAGTGGTATGTACGTGTACGATCCTCGTCGCGATACTGATAGTGTTGATCGAATGATTAAAACGTTCTTTAGTCGAGCTCAAAAATTCGCTTCTCTAAAGTTGAAATACAATGCTGTGAATAATTATAAACTCAATCATAATTCTACATTCTTCATAACATTACAACGAAAGTTGAAGAAACCATTTGAAAATTTTTTGGTTGCGGGGTTTTACAATTACAATCATTTTTGGTGAATACACATACCCCTGAAATCCTACCCACTTTTGAGAAAAAAATTCGAGTAGGTACTGAAATTTTTAGACGAAATTAAAAAATTTCAAATTATACTGAAAAAATTATTTTTGATTGCGGGGCTCAATTACAAGCATTATTGGTCATTAGACATATCCTCGAATTCCTACCCACTTTCGAGAAAAAAATTCGAGAAGGTGTGAAATTTTTCGACTAAATTAAACAATTCCAAATCGGTCTGGAAAAATTATTTTCGGTTGCGGGGGTCAATTACAATAATTTTTGGTGAATAGACGTATCCTCAAAATCCTACCCACTTTCGAGAAAAAAATTCGGGAAGATGTGAAATTTTTAGACAAAATTAAAAAATTTCAAATCGTTCTGGAAAAATTATTTTCGGTTGCGGGGGTCAATTACAATCATTTTTGGTCATTAGACATATTCTCGAATTCCTACCCACTTTCGAGAAAAAAATTCGAGATTTGAAATTTTTCGACTAAATTAAAAAATTCCAAATCGTTCTGGTAAAATTATTTTCGATCGCGGGGGTCAATTACAATAATTTTTGGTGAATAGACATACCCCCGAATTCCTACCCACTTTCGAGAAAAAAATTCGAGAAGGTGTGAAATTTTTCGACTAAATTAAAAAATTCCAAATCGTTCTGGTAAAATTATTTTCGATTGCGGGGGTCAATTACAAGCATTATTGGTCATTAGACATATCCTCGAATTCCTACCCACTTTCGAGAAAAAAATTCGGGAAGATGTGAAATTTTTAGACAAAATTAAAAAATTTTAAATCGTTCTGGAAAAATTATTTTCGGTTGCGGGGGTCAATTACAATAATTTTTGGTGAATAGACATACCCCCGAAATCCTGCCCACTTTCTAGAAAAAAATTCAGTATGGGCGGAATTTTAAACGTCAATAACTTTTTAGCGAAACCTCCATTAACAAATTACTATTCTTGATTTTCGTCTTATTTTGGCCTGTAGAATCTCCCATTAAAATTTTTCCTAGAAATGGCCAAACACCCTGTATAGAATGACGCACAAAGAACGCGTATTTGTCACAGAACACTTATAAGATCGTTATAATCGACTAATACTTAACGATTTTTTTACAAGCTTCAATAAGGCCAAAACATGACAAGGTTGTGGCTTGTTACGTCGCTTCCTGGGCGTCATACCGGCCAACCAATGGAAAATTCGATATAAAAGACCTTCGTCCGGAACTTTGCACACACCTCATATATGCGTTCGCCGGCTTAAATGCCACAACGTGGACGATCAAGAGTTTGGATCCCTATAAGGATATCACCAATGGTAAATAGTAGAGGTATCTATTTTACGAGAATTCGAGTACACCGGTACACGTGTATGATCTGCATTTTAACGTCTGCAACGTTCAATTCACGGTATTACACTAATACGGATTAATACAGATCATACATACATCAATCATCAAGTTACTATGAAATGTGACTAATCATTGCGCAACAACGCGGGAAAGATTACGAAATCTTATACTTGTATCTCTATTATATGTTATTCACGTTGTATAGATTAACTTCCTCGCTATATCATTACTTCAAACGGACACAATATTTCATAAACTAAGCTCGTTGATAGCAGTTTTCTTTTTTTCCATTTTCTCTCACATATCGAAAGGCCTTCGGTAATTATCAGAATTGGACAAATTTTATTCACGAACAACGAATAAAAATTTTATATTCATTCGTAAACTAATTTCTCTTTACGTTTTCTTTGTAAATTAAATTATAAATTAGAATTTATTGATGGACTTTTTAAATCGACATCTAGACATGCTAAACAACGTGTAAAAGGTAGTTTACAAATGAATCTAAAATTTCGATTCGTTAGTTGTAAATAAGAAATAAGGCGCTGAAGGCCTTCTAACAATAAGAGGCACATCACGAATGCAGACTTCTTGGCCTGCGGTCGGGCGACCAAATAAAAGGGGTAACACCTCCCTCATCGCCCTGGCGATCTCCACATCCGTCTCCACATCCATTATCAGGGCCTCAACATTAGCGATGGAGGGGGGAAAAGAAACCCCCCTCCCTCACTCCTCCTTCTTTCTCACCTCACCGCTCTTCACCGCTTTGGGAGTTGGCTTTGGGACAAAAAGGGGGGGAGGTTGTATAACTCGGTTGCAGCCACATGGATGAACTCTGCTGCAAACTTCAAATCTCTCACCGAGACACCTTTTAAGTTCCCGCTCTTCTCGGCCACTTCGATGACATTGTTCGTCTCGACGCAAATTTCGACGGATAAGGTCATCGATTCGTGAAAATTCGTTTCTTTATTAGTATGTACTTCAAGATATAAGAATTTGTAAAATATAGATTTTGGTTTGTTTACTTTTGTTAATTGCTGGACACACTGTGCGGCATGACATTTAACCCTTTGCGCTCCGAATTATATTTCAATTTTGTTACCAGCAGCTCCCAACGCCTTTAAGTGTTTTATTTGAAATTTACCTGTTAAAATATCTGTTTTATTTACACCGTTGTTGCATTTTGTAACTTTCAAGTGTACGATATCTCTTTGGTTTGGACTTGAAAAAGTGTCGGATGGGACTCGACGAGGGAGCTCCTGAGATAAAAATTGATGTCGAATCACACTCGACATAGGTGTGCAAAGGGTTAATGCGTTAATGAGTTTTAATTTGTAGTGTTGGCGTTAGGATAACGAACAATAAACGTTTCGATCCTCACCAGGTAACTACAAGAAAATTACACAACTTCGCCAAATGTATCCCGAATTGAAAGTTTCTCTCGCGATCGGTGGGTGGAACGAAGGTAGCGAAAACTATTCTAAGCTTGCTTCTTCGCCCGCATCAAGGAACACATTTGTCAATAGTGTGGTCACTTATCTCAGGTACAGAATATAAATTAAAGATCGTTTGTATTTTATGAAATTTCCATCGAACGATGAATTCTGTTTTGTACAGGCAATACGATTTCACCGGATTCGATCTGGACTGGGAATTCCCCGCAGCACGCGGTGGATCGCGGTACGACAAAGCGAATTTCGTCTCCCTCGTAAAGGTGTGATTTTATAAAACAATTGCACTAGTTAATTAGATTAGTGATTCAAATAAAATTTGCAAAAATTGAAAAGTGAAAAGTGTATCAACTTGCCCCGGGTCTCGCTTACTTTAAAATTATCGAGATTTGGTCCACACATTACGTAGTTTTGAAAAACTTTATATTTTCTTGTTTAAAAAAATAGTATAGGTACATTATTTTGTTAAGCTCTCCTAAAGCTGAATACAGCACTTTTTGGAAAAATCGAAAAAAATATGGTGATTCGGAGTCGCTAAAATGCAGATTTACCGAATTCGTTTGATTGGAAAACATTAGGTGTCTCGAATGATGATGCTTACACATAAATAACATAACGAAAAGTATATTTTTTTTTATCAGGAACTCAAAGAAGCGTTCAGGGGGTCGAACTATCAATTGACCGCAGCTATAAGCGCCAATCAACTAACCGTCGACGCAGCATACGATATTCCCGAAATTTCAAAGTACTTAGATTATATTCACGTGATGGCTTACGATTTTCATGGTACGTGGGACATGAAGGTGCTCCCGAATTCGCCGATGATAAGCCCAGATGGTCTTGACGTAGTAAGAACGCGCAAAGAGATATAATAAACAATGGTCACTCTGTCAAGAATGCAAGTACATAAGAGGTTTCATTTTAGGAAGATACGATCTCCCATTTGTTACATAAGGGAATACCTCCAAACAAATTAGTGTTAGGTTTACCTATGTACGGAAGGACCTTCATATTGACTACTAAACCAAGCTTCCCCCAAAAAAGTCCTATGAATCAACCATGCTTGCAGCAAGGATTCAAGGGTCCTTACACCGGTGAAAAAGGTTTTATGGGATACAACGAGGTACGACACGTTTTTCAAAAGTCTTTCCATTTATCCAATTAAGCTTCTATCGCTTGAAATCAGACCTGGGCGTTTAAAAAATTTTACTGTTTCATGAAGCATTTTGTATGGAAAATGAATTGTTGCATTTCCAATTGAATAATTTATTTATCACTCCGCGGAATAAATTATTTGTTATTACTTATGTGATTTTAACGGAAATAACTAATTTCTTAATATGCTAAATATTTATATTATTACTACGCTTCTTAAAACCGATTCACTGTTATGGTTTGTGTTTGTTATTGCTATAAAACATTATTATTTATCAAATGTAGAAAGACATTTGGCACTGAATCAGCTTTCACATGTGATGCCATTTATTCTCATTTAATTTTGAAGTTTTTAAAAATGATGAATGAAGGGAAGAATTAGTGTTACTATTTTTAGTGATACTATTGCACACTTACTGCAATTATTCCTATATATTATTCAATGCCTTAGAAATAATTTATCAATTATGAAATAAAATTTCAATTTACTATTAATTAACTGAAATAAATTTTGCCCAGATCTGTCTGAAATAAAACAATTTCCGGTTTCATGGTTACATGGTTTACATCTAAATAATATGTGGATATAAAGTAATGATAATGTATAACGATACTGTCAGTGTTTCTTCTAGTGACTACTTTTGTTTAAAAATCTAGTTTTTACTTCCGGAGCTTGAAACTACTTCTATAAAAAAAACGACTTCGAAATAAAAAAACTAGAATGTTGAACTAGAATTTCGTTTTCAAAACTGTTTTATTTTTATTTAAAACTGGTATACCATGTACTTTGATAGATTTGCGAAGAGATAATACGAAATCCGGGAAACTGGACTACCGGGTGGGATACTGAGAGTAGCACGCCTTACACAATCAACGACGATCACGTTATCGTGTACGATAATCCGATTAGCATGAAGGCAAAGGTTTGTGTTTTACAGCATAGAATTGCGTCAGTTGTTAAGTACTATCGCTGTAAATTTTATTGAACATTTTCAGGTGGAATACGCGATGAAAATGAAGCTAGCAGGTGTGATGATTTGGAGCATTGACACGGACGATTTTCACGGCAATTGTGCCTCATTGAAGGATTCTTTTGATCAAACGGACAACACTTTTCCCTTGATGAGATCGATCAACGTTATCCTTGAGAATTCAACTACATCTACTAAACCAAACAAACCTGGAAGTAATTCTTCGAACCAAATATCTTTATATCAAGCTATCCTAATATTATCATTAATATTAGTAAAGATGTAAAAATACCAAAAACTTCATAAAAGTTCGATACTTTCTGAGGACTGATTCGTGATCTCTAAATAGCAATCTGAAAGGAGTTCTAAAACTGACCACCTATTACAGTCCATATCATAGTAATAGGTACGACTTATAACAAATATCTTGTTAGTGACTATGCACTGTTAGAGTTTGTATTATCCGTGTATATAATTCATAAAGAAACCATACAACGGACAATTTTGTAAGAAAGTGTATACTTATGTGTATAGATGAATAGAAATGTACTTATTAAATCATACTTTTCCACTATTCTCCTATTGTTTCTGTACTGAATTGAAAAATCGCAATAGAAACTTTGTAGATTCTAATAAGCTAAATAATTTTAACGTAAGTTATTTTTCAGGCAACGACACCCTATATTAGTATCAAATTAGTACAGTATTGTCAGAAATCTTGCCTAGCTTCACAATCGATAACGATAAAACATTAAAAGATAAAAGTTTGATAAAAAGGTATTAAAACATTGAACGCGATCTATGGCTCGAAACGATTATGTGAAAAAAAATTTTAAATCATTCTAAAAAAATTATTTTCAGTGCAAGGGTCAATTACAATCATTTTTGGTCATTACACATACTCCCGAAATCCTACGTATTTTCGAGAAAAAAATTCAATACGGGCGGAACTTTAAACGTTAATAACTTCTTCTCCATCAACAAATTGGTATTTTTGATTTTCGTATTACTTTGGCCCCTATAATCTCCCATTAAAATTTTCCCCAGGGGTGGCTGAACATCCTGTATAATTTGGAACAACAATTCCAAATAATATGATTGAAAACAATTTCTTATAATTCTAATACAAGGATCCAAACATTCCAGGTTTGATTATTCTATATGCTTCCCATCAATTGCCGCCAAACAATTTGCATTCTTTTTTCATATAAATTCAAACAGCTTTACAGACTTTTCTAATAATTGTACCAACCAACTGTAGAATGTCTAATTCTGAAACTGTAATGCAGATCTACAAGATAGCAGGCATATACTATCGCACGAGCCACGTGTACGCGAGCTCGACACTTCGCACAATTTCGGGAAAACGATAAAGAACGCTAGTGTGAGCCTTTCCTTCTTGCTCTTGTAACAGCTGAAATACGATCTCGCGATAATCGGCATACGATTTATAGTTAAAATTAGAGATCAAACAGAAGCGATGCCTATGATGCTCGTTTTCCGTTATTGGAAAGACGGACAGAAGTAAAATAGATGTACAATAGTGTGGTCTTTGTACATTTGAAATGAATTAAACTATATTGTTGAAGCTATATAATATTCTTGGAATACAAATTCATTATATATTTTATGTGATATAAAACTAAAGTAACCATTACAATCTTGTTAGTAGGGAACACATCTTATAAAAAGAAAATAAAAAAGGAATAATGATAATAAAAATAAACAAAATAAACTTATTTACCTCATCTTTAACTACAAGAGTTATAGCCAGATTTTGTAATGAATCATTGAACGTTTAGTTAATTCAATTAAATAGCAATTTTAATGTTGATATGAGTACAGATAGATTGTTTTTTTATGAAAACAATTCATATAATTACAAATCTATACAAAGGGTTTCAAAAGGTATGGTCATTTAGACTAAAAAAATTAGAATGTTTATATGAGATTACTATAAAAAGTGTTATTGTATGTGATTTAATAAAATACCAGTGAAATAATTATTATTTATCGATCGTGTTTTCTATTATAGTAGACATTATACATATTAAAATTACGTAAAATATTTTTTAACAGTAGAATCGATACAGTTAAATGAAAGGGATGTTTTTAGTTTGGATAAAAAGAATCACAAAGAATGAGAGAGATACATTTAGTTAAAATTCAGAGCTTGATTGCACTATTCATGTATGTACGACAGTATATACATGTAACGTTTAAATATTTGTTATATCTGAATAATAATATTCTATATATGAAAATATTAATATATTCAATAATATACTCACTACATACACTCAGAATAATTATAAGGTAAATATTTTAAGTTGGATACAGATGTAAGTGGAATTTAAGAAGCGTGTTCCTTTTTTTTAGTATTCTTTACAATATCCTGCTTCGTCGGTTTCTTTTTTGTATCAATTGTAGAAACGCGAATATTTGGCTGTTTATTCTCTTGATTGTTACAACTTTTTATTTGTTTGGTTGTAACTGATTTAGCGGCATTCTTTACATTGGGTACTTTGACTTCCTTAAAATTTGGTACCGGATTGGCACGAAATATTTGTATCTTTTTATCATTTTCTTGCATTTGTTTAACAAATTCTTTTTTCTTTTGAGCAAGACATTTATCCCTTTCAGCAAAACTAAACGGATGCGAAACTACTGTTCGTTTTTTCACAGTTTGTTCTTCGCTTGTTCTTGATTGTTCTTCAGTCGGCTTTGTCGATTTTAAAAATTTTGGTGCGGGTCTTGCACGAAATTCGACTTTTATTTTATTGGTATCTTGAATCTGTATATTCTTCAGTTTTTCCGATTTTTTCTCCGCGCATTTTACGTTATTGTCCATAGAATGTTGTGATGTATTTATTTCTGAATCTGAGGCGTGAGGCGTTTTCTTCGGCCGAGTTAAACGAGATTCTTCTGCAACGGTAAGTGGTTTTTTTGCTACTTTCTTTAGAGCGGATGGAGCTTTCAAAATGTTAAGTGGTACAGGGTTTGCTTTTATTTGATGTTTCTTCATTTCTTCAAGTTGTAAGGTTTCACGTTCCTCTTTACTTAAAATAGTAGTATGTCTTGCTCTCCGCATACTTCTCAATGCTGGAGAAATTGGATGAGTCAGTTTCATCGGGAATTGTTTCAAGTTTATCAAGGGACCTGGCTTTAAATTTTTTTTACTGATTGTGCGAAATCTTTGCGGTGTATTAGTTTGAAATTTAGAGACTGCCTCTGCCAAACTTATAAATTTGCTTGAACGTCTGCGACTCTTTATTACACTGTGCCTGCGATATTGGCACGTGAGTACTTTCGGCTGCGATCGTTTGACTTTACACATTTTAGATTGTCTTTGCAGCACGTTCGATGCACAACCAATTTTATAAGATTTTTCATCCAGTGTCAAGTTTTTCATAACTTTGCTTAAACTATTTTCTGTCTTTGTCTTCACAGAATGCTTTTTATTATCATACGGTATAAAATATGTTATGTTGTCTTTAGTATTTTGTACAGGTTCTAAACTATCATTGAAATTTGTTTTCACCAAGTTTTTCGTAACTTTGCTTAGACTATTCTTGGTCTTCGTCTTCACAAAATGCTTTTTGTTATCATGTGATATAAAATATGATATGTTATCTTTAGCATTTTGTACAGGTTCTAAGCTATCATCGAAATGTCTTTCTGTATTTGGTGATTTAGCTATACTATCATTCTTGTAAAATACAGATAAATTGGATTTCAAGTTAGACTTCAATTGTATCAAAGGTTTATGTGCTTCATATTCGATATGTGTGTCAAAATAATTATCGGATGGCAATTGCGGACTGCATGTAAAGTCTGTCCATTGTGGAGCACAATAGTCGTCCATTCTTAAAAAGTCTTAAAAAGTGTACTAATCAATTAGATAATAAATTTTATTAGTTCATTTGGTTCATTTTAGTTTGATTTATATTTGTCAGAATATTTTTTTGTAATACAGTCGTCCATCATTAAAAAGTGATCAATTAGTTAATAAAATTACGAAGAAATTACACTACACTGGCACCAAGTGGATAATATGTGAGCATAATCTGTAAGGAAACAAAAATATAAATAAAATATGAAATATTACGTACTTCGTACGTGACAGAATTTATATGCATCTTGAAAATATATTTGTAATAATTAAAATTTATACCATCTTCATAATTTCATACTACCAATCGTTTGTGCGTTTAATAATCTTGTTACAGTTCTGGAAACAAGCTCATTCTTAGGAAGAAATTGCGTCTTACCTTAAATATTTTAGTCTTCGAAGACAGGAGACGCGGTTAAAGTATACGTTAACGAATTTGAGTTTGAAATTTGTTGAACATTTACTTGATTGGTTGAGAAAACAACTGTGTGCACACGTTAAAAACAAAATATCACTATATAATTTTGCACTGTTACGCTATCACGTGAACGTAGGTTTTGTTGCGATCTCCGCTGGTATGAATCTGTGTATTATGTGAAGTTAGCTCTAAGACATAGGGATATCAAGGTTTGATGTGAGAGCGAAATTCAAACCGACCAGCGTATTGTAATAAACAACGAAATCGTACGCTTTTCAACGTGGGCGATCAAGCTGGGGAAGGTAGAGAGAAAGGAAAGCATTTCTTAGATACTTAGTTTATTTTCTAAAGGCCGTGTCGAATTCGAGTTTCCATCGTTCCTTTAGTTTATTGTTTAGTTATTACGGACCGTGCCGAATTAGCTATTTCCGTTAAGAGTTTCAATGGTCTTGACACACAGCAGGGCCTCGCGACACTTCGCTTCGAGTTTCGTTTACTTTCACAAGGGTCATAAATTTTCTTAAGGGTTGCTTAGGCCGCTAGCCTCGTTTTCTCTCTCGACTCCCACGCTCTCTCTCACGCGCGCCCGCTCCAACATGGCCGCGTAACCTCCACCTCCACGCGGCTCGGGGGTGGATCATCGATCGAAGACGATCCGGACGGATGGGGCAGGGCACAAACCCCGATTGGACCAGGACAATCCAGAGGGAGGATCGAGGAATATTCCGGAGAAGGGATGAACATCGAGGACGACGAGAAGATTTCCGCGGAGGAACAGATCGATTTCGAAAGTCAACCAAATTGTATCTAAAAGTCGAGACGAAGGCGAATAAATCTTACCAACCATTTTTCGAACATACTTAGTAGTTTGATTTTTGCGCGCCTCGCCGAGCAGAGCGGTTCAGCGCTCCACGGGCACCAATCCACCGTCCTTTTTCCCTAAACCACGATCTCGGGACGCAACAGTTTTGTTGTGGTCGCCGCCTGGCGCCGTGTAGCAGAAGCTCTGGGGGGCGCGAGGTTTAAATCAGATTACACGAATGTAATAGGAAAGAGAGACAAAGTGGAGTCCGCGCCAATTCTAAGGTTTAAAAGTGGTTAGAGATTCTTTTAATGACTTCACTTCGGGTCATAAATTAGCCAATAATTTATTGGAGACGGATGTTTGGATCGTCGTGAGCTCCCCTTTGATCCCTTCTCCTAAGTGTGTAATTCCTGGAACTTGGGCCGTGCGCTATCGATAGCCGGAAACGGGCTGCGTGGGAAAGCCGATAACGGCCACGTGCTGCAGAGGACCGTTCTCGAGGGATCGGGGGTGTGCCGAGGAACGCGCGTGCGAGAGTTTTGCGCCCGGCCCGAACAAAGGAAGGGACGATCTGGAGGGACCTACGTGTGGGCTGGGCTGGGCCTCGACCGGCCGGCAGAGCGACACTTGAATCCGGAGATCGAAAGTGAACGGACGTATCATTGTAACTTAAGCGAGATCGTACTTGTATTATTTGAGTTAGTTAATAGAGTTGAATCGGCAAAGAGAGGATGCATCTTGAATTAAGAGAGCGGAAGTGTACGAACGGGTTACAAGATACAAAATCTTGGTTGTTTTGTTTTATATTCCTTTATTGAGTTAATTAAAGTACTATTTACGTGTGTTCAAATCCTTGTATCCAGTTATTATTTTCCTTATCTAGCGATCTCCGTTTGAAACTCCCGCGTCCAAGGAGCAGAGTGCCTTAGCACTCCACGGGCAGCGTTCCCCGCCGAATTCCCTACGAAGTTTCGGAAATACGCCGCCGGACGCGCAACAGTTTAATGCACGTAGCGCCACAACGGGAATTAATTGAAACCCGATTACTCACCGTCGAGTGCATAGTGATGTAACTGCATTCTAATTAAGAGCGAAATTCAAACAGACCAACGTATTATAATGAACAATGCAATTGTATGCTTTTCAACGTGGGCGATCAAGCTGGCGATATTTTCTAAAGGCCGTGTCAAATCGGAGTTTCCGTCTTTCCTTCTTTTAGTTTATTACGGAGCAGTTTCGCATTTGGCTTGTGAATTATGTACTATGTATTGTTTAATTATAAATTGGGAAAGATTTTTAACTGTGTTATCTAATTCTCACATCTTCTTTTAACTTTTTCTTTTGCGTATGGAATATATTTACAAGTTTCTGGTTTCAATATTTAACCTAACCCAGGCCTATCGAACCTACAATGGAGGGGACTCCTCATTCCACTTTCGTACACTATGCCAGATCACATATACACGAGCTCGTAGAGTTACAGAGAATCGACAAAGACAAACTGACACTTATCCTCTTCCTCGATTCTCCGAAGCCCTCCGACGTGAGTGCGAATGCACTTCAAGAAATCGGGGAATAGGACGAGTGTTAGTTTACCTTTGCCGACTCTTTGTAACTCTACGAGCTCACGTATATGTAATCGGGCATAGTGTGCGAAAGTGGAATGAGGAGTTCTCTGGTGCACCTGGTGCCCGGTCTGATAACACTGCTGTGTGTAGGTACATCATATAACGTCATCAATATAGTATACAGACGACTTCGTCTGTAGCGGCACTATCATCTGACGTTTCTGCCGAAAACTGTTCTGTCTGTACTTGTCGGCGCAGGTGCGAAGACGGCTTCTCGTGAATGTTTATATTAAAGATGTTTGTAAGAAGATAGCATCATACAAAATGAATAAGAATATAAATTCACCGTCTAAGCTTACGGAGTTTGCTCCATTAAGTCCTGAAGAAAGTCAACCTGTTGTAGCTTCCTTATTTTCGAAATTCTTTAATTTCGCTAGGAGTAAGAACCTTTTTGTACTTTGTGCTTGAATGTAATGAAAGAAGCGTGTATGTTGCTGAAATAAATTTTTTTTAATTAAAAGAATGTTTGTCTGTGTCTTGTCATAACGTACAATAAAAATATTTAATAAGCATGGAAGATTTTATACTATGTAGTACTTAAATCTAGGTTCACAAAATGTTGACGATTCTACAATCTCTTCTAATAATGAGAAGCAAAGTTCATCTGATTCTGAATCGTGGAAACAATCAGAAAGCACAGAAGAAACACCAGAGGATGACAATTCTAGTATAATGAATTTTCCATTAGATACTCGTGAAGGCAGAAGTTTACCAAATGTTTTGAAACGTATTAGTAACATTGTGGCTCTGAAAAGTAATGTAAGTTATTTTTTATACGTTATGCAAATGTTAATAGTAGATATAGTCAAATTTATATTATTATTGTTTAAATACAGAACCTATGCTCGTACAAAGATTCCCAATTAAAAAGTTATTGGATGCCAGATAGTGTAAGTAAGCAATGCTATGAATGTGGCGAACGATTTACAACATTTCGTAGAAGACATCATTGTCGTGTTTGCGGTCAAATATTTTGCTCAAAGTGCTGTTCAGATCAGATTACTGGAAAAATTATGGGATGTACAGGTATGAAAATATCACATATATGTATCTATTATTTATTTTCTTGTGTGTTTAATTGTAACAAAACTTTGGTTGTAGGGGATCTTAGAGTCTGTACATATTGCTGCAAAGTAGTTTTATCCTATTTACAATCATCAGACATGAGAAGCAATCTATCAGCAGATTTAAAAGCATTGCAAGAAGATCTTCAAGTTAAATATGGAGATGATTCACCACCTATGTCTCTGAAATGTGCAAACGAATTGGTAGAGGATGAAACTTTAATCTGCAGAAAACCAAGTGTAGGATACATGGAAGAAAAATATGCTATTGGACGGTATAATTTTGCATTATTCTGCCATTTTAATGAATCTCACGAGTGTTAAAATTTGCAAAATATAAAGCTGTCTTATAAATATACTTTTCAGATCAGGAAATAGTTACTTAACGTCTCAGGAACGTTCTCTTGTCTTACAAAACTCTGCTTCATTAAGAATGATTTACGAAGAGTTATTTAGATCGAGTCAAGCAATTCTTCTACAAACTCACAGAATTAGACTGAAAAGTTATTACAACTGCTTTTTAGCTAGCGAGTTAGTAAACTGGATGATAGCACAAAATAAAGCAGCCACGCGGTACGAATACAACAAATAGATAAACGGAAAAAGTATTATGATAAAATATTAAAACATAATGTGTTTCTAGTGTGCAGGCTACTGCTATAGGGCAGGCTTTACTGGAAGCAGGTTTCATCGAACCCGTAATCGTTGATAATGTGTTTAGCGATACAGCAACAGTATTTAAACCAGTAAAATTATCTCATATGCAGAGTATGGAGTTATTAAATGAAACTCAAACTACGTGTGATGCACAAGAACCTGCATGGGTAAAAACAATTCCACAGCATGATTCAACAACAGGTAATATTTATTATTGTATTTTATGCAAGAAGAAATGTCTATATAAATGTATTTCAGATTCTGAAAGTGAAACGAAACCTTCAAATGTAATGCAACAAACTAGCGGACGTTTACCATCATCCAGTTCAAGTTTTTACTTAGATCTAAATTTAGAATCATCTACTGTTACATTAAAAAGACCCACCTCGGAAGATTTAACCACAATTTCTATAGATAGCAGTGATGGTGTAATCGAACAGAAAGAAGCTACAGTAACGTCTCATAAGTGTAATTTTAAGATTGCCGATGATCTTTTGAATGACACGCTACAGGTACAAGAATTTAAAGAAAGAAACGGTTGGCATAAACCGTCGAACCTTAGAACCACATTAGGTGAATTACATGCATATGAGTGTTTGACGTAAGTATTATGCATACATAAATAAAAGTAATTAAACTTTATGCTTACATCGACGTAATTATAGATCTGCGTATAAGCAGCACGAAGATTCACTAATTAAACAACTTCTGAATAAAGAAGGCTTATCCCAAACTTGGTCAGAAATAATACTTCCTATTGCTCACCAAATTGTAGACTACGTTAGACCCGATCTAAATCATAACGTCGATGATCTGGATATTCGACAATATGTTCAAATAAAAAAATGTCCAGGCGGTAATAGGGACGACTGTGAAATCGTGTCTGGTGTAGTTTGCACCAAAAATGTTGCGCACAGAGGAATGAATGCAATGATAGCCCATCCAAAGATATTATTACTTCAGTGCGGACTTATGTATCAACGCGTAGAAGGAAAACTATTAAGCTTAGAGCCTGTGATGTTGCAAGTATGAATAAAATTTATTAACTTATATTCGATATTATTATCTTATACCGCGATAAAAATGTCTAATTTGTAGGAGAATCAATACTTGGGTCATACAGTTGCTAAAATTACAGCCCTTGGTCCAGACGTTGTTCTCGTACATCGATCTGTTTCAAGATTAGCTCAAGATAGGCTTCGAGAATGTGGTGTAACGCTTGTTTTAAACGTGAAACTTAGTGTTTTAGAAAGAGTTGCACGTTGTACAGGAGCTAATATCGTCAATACCATTGACGCACATATAAGTGCAAGATATATGCTCGGTACATGTAAAAAATTTTACTTACGAAATTTTTCATGTGAAAAAAGTGAGTAGTTAAAGATTCCTTTAATTTATAGTTTCTCTTTTAGTGGTGTAGAATTTAATGACTTTTCTCAGATGGTATTAAAACATTGATGTGTTTCGAGGGGTGTTCAAATCCACATCTTGGAGCTACAATTTTACTACGAGGTGGCCCTCAAGCAGAATTGAAAAAGGTAAAAAATGTAACATCAATGATGATTTTTGCAGCCTACTCTTGGCGCCTTGAAAAGTCATTTCTAATGGATGAATTTGCAAGACCCCCATCTCCTAAGGATAATTCATTTTTGGATGAAACATCGCACAAGGACTCCACAGAGTTTGAAGAAACTAGTAAAGTATTGCTCACCAAAACTAACGAAGGAAATGATACAGCTTTCAGTCAGGACAGAGATTATGCAGATAGTATGGAAATTTTAAGAATGTCAAAAGTTCAAGCGGATTCGAGAAGTACATCAAACGATAGACAATGCATAGAAATTGAGTTTCCCGCTAGTAGGAGTACACCTCTGAAAGATAAAGTAGCAGATCAGACTTATACCGAGAATAAGTTAAATTCGACCTCTATTAAACAAATATCTTCTATATTATCCGAAGACACTGACCCTTACGATACTTTAAAATTATTCAAAACTAAAACAAAGTCTTCCGTAATTGATTCGAAAAGCACAGAGGATTGCACAACAAGTAAAACATTGAATAGTAACGATAATCTAAATAATACTTCTGGACTTGGTACAGACTGTAGCAACGATTTAAATAGTACTATGGAATTGTTTGGTGGTAAAAGTGGTGAAAAGGCGAACAAAGAAACCGAAGAAGAAATAGAAAAACCAAAAATGAAGGACAAATTCATTTCAGAGGAGAAACGTATTTATGGAGAATCTATTAGTGATTGGAGCGATCCATTGCATCAGTATTTAAACGAAGACGAAGAGGACGTGTTTAATCAAACTAGTCCAAACGGTCAGCATTTAAGCGTTGCTGATTTACCATTACTAAATAAATTTAAAAAAGCTCTGGAGGGAACTATATTAACCGTTTCGCCCTATTTGAAATTTTCTATACCGTACTTGGAAACCGAAACAGGAAGGAATTGCGTGTTGCGAGATTTCTTCCCAAGAGAAATCTTTTATTCTGTCCAATTTTTAGACAAAGTGAAAGAGGTTAAAACGAGCAACGTGTCCGTAGAGATATGTGAATTTGAAAATCCATTAATGAGATTAAAATTGAAGCCTCAACATCCGTTTGTTCAAGCAAGGTTAACCACGGACGTCGACAGTCGGGAAGTACAAACTTTATTAGCTAATTTTAGGGCATGTGGTAGTCGATTATATCCAACAAATAACGTTTTGTCGGACAAACAACAAATTCTAATACAGACTGAAGTTAACGATCAAACTCCTACATGGCCTGATTGCTTGGATCTAGCAAGTCATCAACGTCTGTCCGTGTTGTTTTGTAGTTTCTCGCATACTGGGAACGATACACCAGCATTCTGTGTGAATCCGTGGGTAGTTAATATGGATTTATATGGGAGAAACGATATTGCACTTGGACGTTTTCTAGAACGTTACTGTTTAACGTCCGAGTACAAGTGTCCTGCTCAGGCCTGTCGAGCGCAGATCGCTCACCACGTTCGACGATTCGCGCATGACGGTGGTTGCATACACATTAGTTTAAACGAAATGAATAGCGAACCATTTGCCCAGGAGGACACGAATCAAATTCTGATGTGGAGCAAATGCATGAAATGTAAAAGCGTTTCACCGGTGGTACCGATGTCGGACGATACCTGGTCGTTGTCCTTCGCCAAGTATCTGGAATTACGGTTTCATGGAAACGCTTACGTCAGACGCGGCACGGACACTTGTCAGCATTTGTTACACCACGATCATTATCAATATTTCACAAAGAAAAACATGCTGGCCGTGTTTAAATATACGAAGATATCGCAATGGGAAATTTCTTTGCCGCCGCCATTGATAAACATTATCTACGATCCTAGGCAACACGCGGACGTGATAGAAGAGATGAAAAGTTTGGCATTGAAGGGCGACGAAGTTTTCTCCACCATACGAGAGAAACTAACGACTTTGCAGTTGGATATAGATAGTATAAATGCTGCCAAGCAAATATTGACCAAAGATCAACAGTATTTCAAGAATAAAAGAGAAGAGATTCAATTGAAACTGACATCCCCGACGTTGGAGAATAAAAAGCTCGAGGGCAAGGTGTCCGAGAAACAGGTTCAAGCTTTGATGTTTAGAATCGAAGACGGGATTGTGATTCTTAAACGATTGATATCAGAAAAAGTATTTCAATGGAACATAAAGATTTTGGAAATGTCTGTTAAGAAAAAGGACGAAAGACCACGGCGATTTACCGAACGATCGTTAACGGCTGGAAGCATCATCGATACAGACGGATATATAACGGAGGACACAGCATCGGAATCGCAAATCGAAGATTTAAGCCCTATGTCGGCGGATTACAATGCCATCGACGCTATCGCGGCTGCACAGAATGATTTACAAGCGATCGAAGGCGTAGAAAGTTCCGATAACGAACCTTTAGAAAATAATAATCCTGACGAGATCGTTGTCATTCAGGGATCCCCAAAAATGCATCAAAGATCACACTCTGATGTGTTGCCCCTCACTCTAGAAGACATGCCGGATAAGAAGAAGAAGAAGAAAACAATTTTATCTCAATTATTGTCATCTGTACCTGTAACTCAACCGATACCAAATCCTTTGGGTTCTTTGGAACATCATTTGCTGCCTCTTGGGTAAGATAATCGTAGAATAGAAGTATCTGAAAACTTGGAGCTGGTTAATCTTTAACGAGTCATTTAACTCTTTGTGGCACACTGGGATTAAAAGCAATAGCTGCATGCGCATAGGTTTATATTTTGTTTTATTTACTTGTATTCACTTGTGTTGGCAACATTCAACATGCCAAATCAGGTTCATAATTTAATTAAGCTATTACTATTTTTTTATGTTTTTACATTATGTGATACCTTTATTAATAAAAATATACTATTATTGTTTAATTTAAATCGCAATAAAATTTCTATGCAACATGGGTCCATTTTGTTATCTGAAACCCTGTGCCGCAAAGAGTTAAATGGGGTTAAGTTTAATAGCAGTAAAGTAATTGCAGACACTTACTCATTAAACTGCTAGTCTTTGCAACATTACTTGTATAAGATATTCTTATTTTACAGATCGGTTGTGCCAATTGTGGTATACGAATCAGAACCCTCGTCCATTATTGCACACGCGCTCGACTCGCACGATTACAAACATGCATTGCACGAACTGATGCGTACGACAAAAGGACCCGATTTGAATCCCAGCCCATTGAACAAGCGTAAATTCCCCGAAAATAAAGAGAGCCTTTCCGACTTGACTCAGTCGGGAGAATTTAAACGACCGTCCGTTTTGTCATTCTTCCGAGGGAACAGTCCAAATCCAGCCAGTCCGATAGACTCCGATAGAAGCGTTTCGAATATAGATTTTAGCGCGCAAAGTTTGGCATCGACGTCGGAGATGACAGACGAGGACAAGAAGGCGACAAAACAGCAAAATTACATCGAGGTTCAATTCAACGACGAGACGACTAATTTCTATTGCAGAATATATTTTGCCGCGCAATTCGCTGCTCTCAGAGAAAGCGTTTTAACGTGCGGCGAAGATGGATTTACAAGAAGCTTGAGTCGTAGCGTGCAATGGGCCGCGAGGGGTGGAAAGAGTGGTACTACGTTTTGTAAAAGTCGAGGTGAATAATTATTATACGTCGGATCGTTTGTATAAAAACTGCTTGAACTTATCGTTCGATGATATGAATTTCAATAATCGAGAGGATTTCTTTTTACAGACGATAGGTTCATTATAAAAGAGATGTCACGATTAGAAATGCAAATATTTCTTGACTTTGCGCCGAATTACTTTTCCTACATGGAAAAGTGTCAGCAAACCAAACAGCCGACATTATTAGGCAAAATAGTCGGCGTTTACAGGGTATCTTTCAAAAATAACACGACAAATGCGGCGCTTCGCACGAGCGTGCTAGTGATGGAAAATTTATTTTATAATAGAACGATAACGGATAAATTTGATTTGAAAGGATCGGTGAGAAATCGACTTGTAAATCCTGACGACACGTGTCACGAGGGAGAATTAGTATTGCTCGATGAAAATTTATTAAATAGTTAGTATCATATTAATGCTTTTCGTGTGAAAAGTTTTTTAGTTACGGGATAAATTGTATTTTTAGTGAGCTGCGATTCGCCGCTATACATCAGATCGCATTCCAAAGCGGTTTTAAACAGAGCCATTGAACAAGACACAAAATTCTTAGCTAATAATTCTGTGATGGATTATTCATTGTTAGTTGGCTTAGAGCCAAATTCAGATGAACTCGTACTAGGTATAATAGGTAAGTTACATGATTATCTTTTTTCAGGTACATAGTTTTTTTCTTTCCTTATTATCGTATTTGTAGATTACATACGAACGTTTACGTGGGATAAAAAATTAGAAACAATGGTAAAAAAATCAGGCATATTAGGTGGCCAAGGAAAATTACCAACAATAATATCGCCAGAAGAATATCGAGCTCGTTTCATAGCTGCTATGCACCGATATTTCCTGCCTGTACCGGACAGATGGTCCGGTTTAGGTAGAGACGTGGAAAAATAAAAAAAAAAAAGTCATAATTTCCAATAAATGAGATTATCAATTTTTCAGAAATATTCTACACTAAAAATATTGTACATACATTTTCTGTACAACTAACGTATCTAAAAGAACAGTGCTACGTATAGAGGTACATAATGTATATTAATATTTTATGGAATTACTAGTACATTACAGCATTTTGTAATGAAGTGATAAAAATAAGTTACCCTTATTGTATTTCAAAGCCCCGTTGTATAGTTTCAATTCAATAATTTATCAAACGATAAACATTTACATCATATCAGTTATGTTTATATTTGTTAGCATATTAATGACTGTATTACATGTATATAATATTTATTATAAATTTTACAAGCAATGTCTCTTTTAGCTGAAAGTATAAAGGGCATGAATGAGTTAGATAAAATTATATAAAAATCTATGAAAGCACCATTATTAATGTTTTATTTAGATCATTTTTTCAGAATTATGTACATGAACATTATTTATTATTATTGATAGTCAAATAAACAATAATAATAATATAATAATAATGATAATAATAATAATGAGTTTTAACATAATAGTATTTTCATAATAGTCGAGACCAGTGTTCCGGAATTTGTGTGCCTCTAGGACAAACAAAATATCTTCTAAAAAAATATTGTATCACGCCAATGTAATTTCAATACATTATACACATTTTACAATCAGGTCACAACAACAAAGTATAACACATAAACTATATTTTGCGGTAAATAAATTTCGGGACACTGGTCTATACGTTACAAACACAGGGAAGATATTTAAAGCGTATACACCTTACAGAAAAACATCTCGTCGTACTAAATTCTGTATGACCATAATTCTGTCATATTTACATAAATGAATGCATAGTGATGAAGCTGCAGCGAAACTCGAATATTTGAACTATTCCATCCATGAAAATTAGTTTACACTTGATCACAGTATCTTTTACTGCATTTTTCGAAGCTACGATTATAAATTGTGTGTAAACAATTTACAAACTATGACTGGATTAATTGAACTTTAGATAAATTTTTTCACAGCAAAGCTTCATTGTTGGATACCTATCATCCATTTGTAATATTTTCTTTCACACTGTCTCTCAAACTAAATACGAATTGTAGATGCGCTGTGAGATTAAATACACTGTTGTGGAAAACAATCGTTCGAGCGAAAAATGTAAATAAATTTTAGCATTACGTTATTGATTGGCATACTATAAACAAAGATGATTGAATGAAAAATCATTTTTATTGTATATTGATCTGCGGTGAATTATGCAAGCTGCCGTACAAGAATTTCTGCGAATAATATGAAAATTCTATGATGAAATCATTTATACGTGAAACAGGCAGTACGAAATCTCTATTTGTAATTCGTATTTTGTAAATTCAATTGACGATGAAACAGCTCAGCTAATATGGCTCCACTGCTTATTTTCCCAATAGAAAAAAAAAATGACCCACACTGGATACCACAATCTGAGCAAGTCATCTCTCTGTTGTGAATAACGATTGGAAATTCGTAATTTTTTAAACAATAACTTTATATAAATACATCTAATGGACATTACATAATGAATATGTTCATTTTTACATTTTTTTACATAACTATAATTCGTGGTAGTTTCTTGTTCACTATGATTAGCCTCTTGTATTTCTTCTTTTATTCGTCGCTCGCTTCACGACGAGCATGAATAATTCGTTTACACGTTATCGTTACAAAACAAAACAGAACAATATCAGATTTCGTGTCGATCTCTTGATCAAGTTCGATCATCGTTCGAAAATAGGGCGACAAGAAATACAAGTTTCGTCGAGTTCTTTTTCGATCTGTTAATCAGTCGATGTTAAATAGAATTTAATTAGATTTGTAATATTTCTGGGTTCGTCTATAACAAAATAAGAAACCTAACTTTCTTCGCTAAACGCTATCCAGTGCCGGCAATTTTTTTTGTACTATGACGTGGAAGTGATATTAAATTTCTCATTTGACTTCCGCGGTACTCGGACCGCAAATGTTTCCTATCTAGCCGCGAGTCTGTAGATCGAGAAACAACGAGGAAGATACCCGGGACGGTGGAGGAGGCTTCTCGCTACTCATTTACAATCAAGCGGCATTCTGGATGCATACTAACTTTTGTTTTATAAACGCTAAAGGAGTATCGCTGTCTTTCATAATTGTAGGAACTAACCGTCCCAGCGCGTTTTAAAGGTGAGAAAAAAAAAAAAAATAAGATAATAGTCTTTGCAGCCTCTGCTCTCGCGTTCTGGGTACATCACTTGACATACCATACACGTATATCGACGGAAGAAAAATGGTTACGAGAGCTCCGGGAGGCTTGGTCGATCACACGATTTGACATTCGATGCACCATCAAAGAACAACAAACAATCGAGGGTCGTAACCGGCTACTAGAGATCCATATACACCATGATTCGATGCGATGGACCGTTTTACGGAGATCGCCTCTTCTACCCGCGCGCACGCGCTAAATAAATCTAACCTCTTTTCGGTGCGCATACGCGTGTGCGCGTATCTTTAAGGAAATCATGCGTCCTTTTGAGGATGAGGATACGAGCGTGTGCGAATCTCGGGGTATAATCGCTCGTGTCGTAACAGCGCGTAACTCTTGGGAGCAGTAGATTTTTTTCGTGAAACCATTGCATCCTCTTTTAAACGCCGTTAACGTGCATATCGCATAGCGATCTCGGGATCACGCGCACGGGGCCGCCGAGTGACCAGTTTCTTTTATCTCTGCGGCTCGCCTAGGCCAAATTGTTGTTGACTCTGCGTCTGTTGTTGCGCGTTCCCGGTCACGCTACACCGGCCACCGTGATGTTGCGCCGTCGACCCCATCTGCATCGAGTTTTGGTGCAATCCGTTCTGACTCGGGGACATTCCTGCAATGGTACAACGAATTTCTGATTTAAACCCCTCGTTCTCGTTTCAGCTATACCGTGCGAAACGGCAAATGACAAGCATACAGTAGCGCATCGCGTAATGCTCGAGAATCAGAACCGCCGCCATTTATGATATACAAAGCGTGGATAGAGAATTCTTTTTCTCGAAACCGATTAAACTCAAACAGTAACAAAATGTAATGTCGAAATTATAGCAATTTGAATAGAGTAGTTTGTATTCGTATCGAAAACAAATTCAATAATCGGTAAGAATGCACCATTTCGGTGCTTTAATGATTGATTTAAAGTTCCAAGTAGGCCACAAATGGCCACGAGGGCTGAGTTACAGAGCAACGGCTAACGTATACGAAGTGCAAGAATGTTTTTCAACGTTCTACCAAATCGATTAGTATGCGCAAAAGGAACGCGACAAGTTCCTCGGTGGAAGGAAAACGAAATGTGATTCGGCGAAAAATTACGACGCGAACGTCGATGGTATACGTTCATAAAACAGATATACAGTGGAATAGTAATTTAAAAATAATAGTACTGTTAGAATGAAAATACAAAATAAGTCAGAATACATCTAGGTACACCATTATAACAACAAAAGCCACGTATCAGTGAAATGTTACATGGTTAGTTTTTAAACATAGGATCGTCTATTTAAACGAAGAAACTAATAGTTTTAATACTACCAAAATATATTATGCGACATGTATTATTTAATTTTTTATTTTTAATACTTTATCGAACGAAATAATTGTAATTACTTATACGAGTTAATTTATCGTTTTTCTGTTTTAGGTTAACAATTACTTTTGTGCTTTTCATCGTATTAAGGAGAACCTTATCAAATTCTGAACAAATACGATACATATTGAAAACAGGTACAATGTATAATATACGAGGTGTCTCATCTAAATGTGATCACATAAGTATCTGTCTTATCGTTATATGAAATTACCATCAGATTTTTGTACATGAAATCTTTACTCTATAATAACAATAGTTTAGAATTAAATTTTATTAGCGAAAGCAAGCTTCAACAGATTCGGTACACTTTTGCCAACAAGATACAACTAGCATTCATCGTTTGTCTACGGCTTCCTTAGGCCGATCAGCCAATTGATTCCGATTAGCTTTAATTTATTTTAAATTTCCGCGTTAAATTTGTTTTAATCATAAGACAATGTTATCAACAAATGGTGTTATAAAAACGATATTGCAACATCCGTTGATAATTTCAATTGATAAAAGGTCAATCAATCATAATTAGTTTATAATATTCATCGTTTTTATAAACGTTAACAAATACAATTTCTCCTCGTAAATATTTCAAATTTCAAGAAAGAATTAATCAGGTGCTTCGTATCAATGTGCATCGAAACAGGTGTGCCGCGTAAATTATTTAGATAATACATTGTTCTTAATCGTAAAGATTTGTTTGTGAATTTAATTTATTACAAATTGCTTGTAAAATTACTTTACTATGTTACCACAATCTCTACTATTTGAACAAGCGTGACGCATAAATGTTAGCCTCTCCAAATGATAGCACCTCCCCACCACCAAATGTGTCGTGATGTAAGAAAGGTTGGCAAGTACTTACTTACTGCTCCGTACATAACTATCGTATAAATTAATATTTTAATCGAATGAAACATTACGCAACGCAGAAAAAGATTACATGCATTTCAGGAAAAGTTTTTTTTTTTATGAATACAAAGGATCGGGTAGTTGTCGAATAAAAAGCGCGCTAGTGCAGAAATAATTAGAGTGAAACTTACCCGAGGGAGTTTTCTCTCCTGCGGACATTTTGGAGAACGCGAGAAGCGCGTCAGGAAAATTTGGCGGCGTGGCCGGTGTGTTGCAGGGCGTTATCTACGAAAGAAATGTATGCTTATGACTTTTCAGAAGCCTCGATAAATATCATTGATGTATGTCCGTTTAATAACATTGTTTGTTTACATTCTAGTGTGGATCGCGTGTATGATTATTTAGGTCGAGATCAGGGCGCATGACTGGTACGGTTGCAAACATAGATTCTTCGTTTGTGGATCGATACCTACAATCAACCTCTTTCGCGTGCCTTTCCGCCAGTCACAAGAACGCAGAGATTTTATATCGCGGTTATTGTTATACCGTCACCGTATATTGCGCGACATGATTTCGAACAAATTGATTTTCACTCGGTTAATTTGGTTATGCACCGTACGAGCTGCTCACGAAGCATTCCGCGATAGAGTCATTTGTTAAAACGCTAAGATTTTATTCGCGTTTTATATCGTGTTTCAGAGCCGATGAATAATACGACGCGTCCCGTTCGCTGAATCGCATTTCGAGTTTCATTCATGTAATTTCACCTGCGACTGCTGCCCGAAGCATACAGACGTTACGGTGGGAAGAGTTACAGCCGTTTTCTGCTTGTATTTTGGAAATACGCCGCGGAACATCGGTTTCGCCCGCGAAGCTAAAAATATCGAACGAATGTTTTACGTAAGCCGCCGAACGAAGCGACACAAATCTATGGTAGGTGGGTGAAAAGGGAGCAACAAAAGCAGCTTTCTGCGAGCCGAGAACCCGTTGGTTGTTAAGGTCGTCGAACCTCCAGGACCTGAATGTAACCGTCGGGTGTACCAGGTGGACAGAACGCGACAATACAACGGGCACACGTGTTCGGGCGGCGACGACCGGCTGATTACATAAATAAATAGAAGAATCTAAACAGAGGGCTTAATAACTGCGAAATACTTTCGAGTTCCCTTCTCGATAATCCTGCCTAGACGAAGAGTTATAATTTTCGTCTCTCGAGAAATTTAATTGCACAAAAATATTAATAACATTTTAAGTAAAAGTCCACCGGTTTGTGCAATTGGAACCCTTTGCACGCGGAGACTTTTCTTCGACCACCTAACTATTAACTCAAACACAATTCCTTGCGAAATAGATAGCAAATATCCAAGTGAACGTATCTTTTTTTTACATTCTCTGTTTATGTATTTGGTCCTGTATAATCACTTCAAAACAATAATATCGTTGTGTTTCCTCAGAGGGGGCAACCGAGTGCGAAGGGTTAATTAAAGTTCATCTATGGAGACCAGTGAAGGTACATATGAGAGAGCAGAGTAGCAGGTCAACGTGTTAACGTAGTCGATAAAGTATCGTGCAAGTCCCAGCAGTGATCTTCGCGTTAACTGTCCAAGACGTTGAAATCTGTGGAACAGCTACGCGACACAATGGAAAGCGAAAATGGTCTGCGGAGAGTCGAAGAGGTTTCGCAGTCGGATACGAGCGTTGTCGTTAGTCCAGTAGTTGGGCCAAGATTTGGCACACGGCTTATCGGAATGCCGCCGACCGAGAATAGTAACGCACCTAGCAACTGTCTGCCTGCAGTGGTTCTCTCCGCCTTTCATTATCGTATTGAAGTTCGTTCAATGAAGTTCGAACCGCAGCCGACAAGCATGGCGATAATGTGAAGTATCGGAAGGAGAGAGGACCGAAATAAAGTGGGAGGAAGGAACAGGCCGAGGACACGAAGTGCAACAAGGGGGAGTCGCGAAGTAAAGCGGGGGAAGAGAAGGGGCGAAAAGAATGCGAAGTTACAGGCGAGGGGCGAGGCGGGGGTGGAGGGGGAAGGCGAGACGAGAAAACAAAATCTTAACCGACGGCTGAATAACCGGGCGCAGAAGTTAACGAGGAAGAACTCGTTCTGCTGAATCAACGATGGTCATGCCGCCGTGGCTTTACGAGTCTTTTAATTAAGCCAAATACGACCGATTCGTTGTTGCGCAGATGTCTGAAAATAACAGACTGTGAAATTAATACGATCCCTCTCCGATAATAGGGCTTTAACGGCGACGGCGGTTACGCGGATTCGAATCGCGTAAATGTTAACGTATTTAGTAACACGGCAACAGTATTTCAATTGATAGAATTATCGCGATCAGCGATATACAGGGTGTTCCCCAACCCTGGGAAATATATTAATGGGAGATTCTAGAGACCAATATAAGACGAAAATCAAGAATACTAATTTGTTGATGGAGGCTTCGTTAAACAGTTATTAACGTTTAAAGTTCCGCCTGTACTGAATTTTTTTCTCGAAAGTGGGTAGGATTTCGAAGGTATGTCTAATGAACAAAAATGCTTGCAATTGACCCCTCTAACTAAATATAATTTTTTCGGAACGATTTGAAATTTTTTAATTTTGTTAAAAAATTCCACACCTTGAATTTTTTTCTTGAAAGTGGGTAGAATTTCGAGGGTATGTCTAATGACCAAAAATGATTGTAATTGATCCCTATAACTAAATATAATTTTTTCAAAATGACTTGAAATTTTTTAATAACTTTTTAACGAAGCCTCCATCAACAAATTAGTATTATCGATTTTTCCATTAAAATTTTTCCCAGGGGTGGTCGAACACCCTGTATAAATTAATTCTCGAAGTGCTCCGTAAAATACCAATGTTATTTCGTAATAACGAGTCAAAGGGTCCCGAGGGGTTTTTTTAATTTTGAGGGAGACGATTTCTTTCGAATTTAGTAGTGTTTAAAAATTCTAATCGCGACATAAAGTTAAGCGTATTCGAATATCATCGAATCAATGATAAACAATTGTAAAATTTTGTCCTGATCCTAAAGCGGTTAATTGACAATTTAACTTCGCGAAACGTATCACGTGCTGCAACTCGAGTACAGATTCGATCTAATAAACACACGCTACGTCCAACGGACAACAATGAATATACATCGTATACATGTAGACATGTACGAAAGTATTTACTTGTTTATGTGTACAGATAAATGTACATAATATACAGAGTGAATCATCCTATTTCTAGCACGTTTCACGATGGAAAACCGTGTTGGAAGAAAATGTTGAATGGCATAGCAAACGGTATCTATCTTTGTATGACCTAATTTTTTGTCGCAGTGCCTTATCGACGGGGTCATAATGTCAATTACTTACATCTAATACGGGAAGAACACAAGCGAACAAATGTGCCATAAATTTTCTTATATTTCTTTGCCATTATGTTTTCAAAACATTAATTCCAATCATTCATTATAGCTAATTATATCAACCATAAACAAGCTATTTTTATTAATATTTGATTCATACGTGTTGAGTCATCTTTAAGATAATCATAAGTTGTAAACGTATGCACCATTTCCTTTGAACTATAAATTATGCGACTGTTTGTTAGAACAGAAGAACAAGTGTTAGAAACCTTAATAATACATACGATGTCATTAGCATATCAATTTAATTACAAACCCTATCGTTACTCAAACTTGGAATATGATTCAAACAGTCCAATAGGATTAGGGTTAAGGATTTTAAGTATTTTAGCTTCATTTTAGAGCGTGGTACTGGCAACAAAATGGGAGGAGACCTACGGTGACTAACATTTTTAGAATCGATCAATGGAGTGACGTTGAACGACGGAAGCGTTGAAAAGTAAATGCACATGGTCGAGATTGCCTCTTCTCTTATCAAAATCTTACGTAACGCGTAGTTTGAAACCCTCCGCGATGTTTTTTCCTTATACGAGACTGATAACGGGAACATGCACCGCTGAAACCTTTAGGGACGTATCAACCAATGTTTGAGATTCGGAAATAAATCAATGAAAATTTTATATACTCGTTATCTTATTCGTAAAAGTCATATACTGTTGCGTAACACTGTTATTGCGATACCAATAAATAATAAAACAGGTCTTGACTTTTCCTGTACTATCTACAAGTGATCGGAACGAAACAAATAATATTGATATCTGAACTTCTCTTTAAAATGGAAATATCAATGTTTCATATTTCTGTATCATATCGAATGCATAGGTTTAACTTGTCGAATCTCACCATTTCACATTGCTATTTCTTCTGCTATTATGTTTTTTGCACTTAAATTTATATTTTTTTTTTACTATGGCAAACAAAGTCGTTAAATATAAAAAAAATAAGTTCGTTTCTTTTTAAGTAAGAAGAATTATATGTGCAAAATTTAAAACAAAATTAAGATAATTATAATTTTGTGGTATGTGTGCAGTTATAATTTCTTTTACGCGTGGCTACTATCTGTTCAAGTTAAAGATGAAGTGGTGTAAAGTGATTTGCAATCCTATTGGTCCGTCATGTCGACACGTCGTTCTAAGCAGGTATAGATCGGTCGCAGAGCGAGTTGAAACGCAAAAAGACACGACAAACGGTTGACAAACTGGGACAGGGTTTTCACTAAAAAAAACTGTCACAGAAATTAGAGTCTTCAAAAGGAACGAACGAGGATACTATTCATACATGCCACAGTCAATGCACGAACCGAGCGAATGTATACATTTATTAATTCCGACAGCCGAAGTGTACCACGTGCTCCAAATAAAGTGTAAAAGATTATATTTAAAATTCCATAATGCTTGCTGAGCGTAATAGATACGAGAAAGTATAAATACTGGTATAAAACGGCGTTTAGGTGCGGCAATATTGATTATTTATCAGAAGTTTCGTTCTAGCCGGATTATGTAACGTTGCATGCTAATATGTACAATTATCGATGTCGAAAATCGCTTTACAAAGAAATCTCGTAATATTATCTGATTTAGACAATGAAAAAGCATTACGACGTTCACGGTAGATTTAACGTAAACACGATATACTAATTTCAGATCAACGTTTATTACAGTACACGAGTATTTGACTTTAGTTTGTATCTGCGAATCGAACGTTTATAGAACGATACCAAATATTATGTTATATTTTTTCAAGATTTAATAGCAGAGAATCGCCGCTGATGTCATTCATCGAAATAAATTTCACGCATGATCACGTTACGTTCGCGATACAATTAATTACGATGTTATCGAGTGATTCATTTCGGTACATTAACAATGTCGGACGTAAAAGAAAAAAAAACGTAAATGATGAACATTTTATTGCGCATTAACCAGACAAGTGTTCGGTAAACGGTACTTAATTCCGAACGAGGCTCACTTAATCGTAAGAATGTAAAATGGTTCAATTATTTCATGCCCGTGTCATTAAATTGCCTGCTTAATCACGAGGCGGATTCCAAACATACATACTTTGTCACGCGTTTCATAATAATTCCGGCTATTGAGTTAGCGAGATCGTTGGCGGTGAGTCGACGAATTTTATAGTCGATTTATCGTACAGGGTGGTTGGCTACTGTCGGTGATTTAGAAATAGTGCCAGTTGCATTTCGAGTATCAACATTGTTGCGTACTGTTTAATAATACTCGGTGCACGAATAAACATACTCGAAGTGTATACGAATATAGGACCAATCTATTTGCGTAGGTTATTCTGACCGATGATGCAAATGATTGACGTTTCTCGCCTCAGGAGATACTCAGTTTACAAAAGCACGATAATTGCAATACTGTGACAAAAACGAACCATTTGTCCAACTCCTTAATATGTATGATACAATATACAAGGTGTTCCCCTGGGAAAAATTTTAATGGAAGATTCTAGAGGCCAATATAAGACAAAAATCAAGAATACTAATTTGTTGATGGAGGCTTCGTTAAAAAGTTATTAACGTTTAAAGTTACGCTCGTACTAAATTATTTTCTAGAAAGAGGGTAGGATTTTGGGGGTAGGTCTATTCACCAAAAATTATTGTAATTGACAATAATTTGTCACAACCGAGAATAATTTTTTCGGAACGATTTGAAATGTTTTAATTTTGTCGAAAAATTTCACACCTTCTCAAATTTTTTTCTCGAAAGTGGGCAGGATTTCGAGGGTATGCCAAATGATCAAAAATTATTGTAATTGACCCCCACAACCGAGAATAATTTTTCCGGAACGATTTGAAATTTTTTAATTTAGTCGAAAAATTTCACACATTGAATTTTTTTCTCGAAAGTGGGCAGGATTTCAGGGGTATGTCTACTCACAAAAAATGCTTGTAATTGACCCCTGTAACTAAATATAATTTTTTCAGAATAATTTGAAACTTTTTAATTTAATTTTTTAATAACTTTTTAACGAAGCCTCCATCAACAAATTAGTATTCTTGATTTTCGTCTTATTTTGGCCTCTAGAATCTCCCATTAAAATTTTTCCCAGGGGTGGCCGAACACCCTGTATATCTTCAAAGATATGTGTGAAATATTAGTACGCGTACAAGAAGAGGAGTCTGAACTAGTTAACGTCAAACACTGCAGTGGACCGCTGTTTACTAGAATGATGATCATGATTATCACCTTGGCCTGAATTTAAACCAGTATTTTCCAAAGTGGGGGCCCGACCCTAACCGAGGTGAGGTGCGCCCTGCAATCAAAGAAGGTCGCGAAAGAAAATCTTTTATTGTTATTTAGCGCGTGACGCGCCTGTGAAATAATAATAAATTCTATATGAAACTGCGTTACCATCAAACCCGTCCAAAATAGCAACACTTTAGTAGTTAAATAACTCGGAAGTCTACAAAAAAAAAATTATTTACATTAAATTTTGTCTCCCTCGAATTCGTTTCGTTATTCTTTTTTGAAACATTTTGTTCCGTACAGCAAGTAATTTTCGAGTAATTTAAAGTCGTCAAGTTAGATGACTCACCCTATATTTGCACCTGTGGCGTTTGTTTGCCTGTTGCGTGTATCTGTACTCACAGATTGTGTGTTTCTACACCGACGCATAAAATTATCTACGTGCAATGGATTTTCATTACAACACTGATACGTAGGCTTTCTTAATTCTAAAGGGGACATCTTGGAGGGTTACGTGTATCTTAGATAAGCTTACGTTTACTCAGTACCGATAACTCGGATATTTAGGTATGGAAGGAGCACAGATATAAAGCTACAATGAAAACGCTATTATCTGAATAGCTATGTACCCTAATACTCAATCGTTCTATTATCCGAACAAGTTACGTCTTGTAAAAAATATCACCTAATCGACGATCTCTGATTTTGATGAAACCAGACGCGTACATAAGGCATTGACTCCTTTTCATTGTTGTAATTAGTCAAAACATGCTGATAAAGTTTGATCAAATAATTTTAAAACACCCTGTATAACATACTACATATGTTCTTCGACGATCGTTACAATTACCGTGTGACGTTAATTAACGATTACAGTATAATTATTTCGAACAGATCGATAAACAATGATTGATGGCTATTTAAAGAAACGTACAGCAAAAATATGGATTACTTCGCACGGAACGAAAACAGCCGATAGGTCTCCAGATACGCGGATGTTTACGAGAACTAATTAAATACGCTTTCGCGCGAACGAAAGGCCGCAGCGAATAAAAAAATATATGAAAGAAACATTTATTTTCTGGCACGTGATCTCGTCGCAATTCGCGCGACGAACTTAATGAATAAAGTCGTTCGTGTGATGCGTCGCGGATCGTTGCACGTGACACAAATAAAACAGAGCCGCTGGAAAGGAATAGAGAGAGAGAGAGAGAGAGAGAGAGAAAAGAGAGAGAGGGGCTGGGACGAAACCGCCGTCGACGCTCGCGACGCGAAAATACTTTCGTATCGATTAGTTCACCAGTACGAACGATCGAAGACCGGCTGTGCCTTTCGTTCGAACATTATTTACATTACGCTAACCGATAACTTTCGTCGAAAGCAAAACGACGGATTCGACTTACTTGGCCGAAATGCGTACCAGGTCCTTGCGCGCATGGAGGTATCGCAGCCTCTTGGAAGAAAATACTGAGGGCAGTCTGGAAAGTACAAAAAAAGAACCAAGATTAGATACGAACGACACTCGACACCTTCTCCGGTTACACCAAACTAGTTTACACTCGACAGTAGCGTAGAATAAAGTAAAAACGTACTTTTCCTTGGTCTTGTAACGATACGTTTATAATCTGGCGATTACTCGTTATTGCTATTGCAGAGAGAAAGGAAGATCAATTCCAGATTGAAGGGAATGTGGTAACATCATTAAGTAGAATGTGGACAGTGTCGAGTCATGTTTGCTTACTCGCAAGTATTACAAATCCTGACTAAAATGTCTGACCCAATACAACTTGCCATACCTACCAGGACTGACTTTTTCTTTTCTCTGTAATATTTGTTTGGTGTTTGTAAATATCGATAGTGGCATACAGAGTTGAATATTATTGTTAAATCGGCTTGAAAAACACTGCCTTAACTCTTCAGCGATATTTCTCAAGTTACAAGCGTGTCTTGTTTTTTAAGGATAAATTAATTCTTCAATTCTGCTGTTTATTTAAATGTCAAGCCTTCGTCGATTATCGTTACTTTACATGCAAACACTCTGCTTTATCAACGGTGGTATGGTATAGCGATAATGTTAACACTTCAATGAGTGTTACAAGATCGAATTGCAAGCTGAAACACGATCCCCCAATGATATTTCGTTACGTACGAAAATTCCTACGTACGTTGAATTCTACGCCGAGTTCATCGAAATTTTTGTCAGGATACTTCGTCGATCGTTACGCGCGAAAAATTTGGTGTGCTCGCCAGAGAACGTAAATGCCAGTTTGCTATAAACGGTACATTGCGGCGCATAGCATACATTTGTATGTATGTATGTATATCGCGTGACTCTGGTCAACGATTGCGGGTCGGGTTCTCTAACTAAATATTAACGCGCGTAGGAGAGCTCTGGTGTCATTCTTAACCTAAAATATTATTCCAATATCATTATTCTTTTATACTATACTTTCTAGCGGGCAAATAATCATCTTTGACAAGATGTCTTAGCCCTGGTTGAAATATTAAATGTGACGTGGACAGGTATACATGCTTTGATTTGGTATTTTGTTGATACAGTTGAAACCATAGTTCGACCGCAATGCACACGTCGATAGATGCCTTACGTGCTCGCCGCGACACGTTCGTGTTTGTCGAGTACCGCGTACTAAATTACGGGACAGAACATTATAAACGCGCGTTTTATCGGCGCTTTAGGCGATCACACGAAAGTTTACCGACCGCTGATCAACGGCTGATGCGAACGTAACGACTTTTAACCGACCCAATTGCCACGGAAATTTACACACAATCTCGCGCTCGTTTCTCGCATACACATGGATAGAGACGGTCTCGATTTCACGAAGCCTGAAACGAAGTTAATGCCAAGAAAAACCATGACGCATTCCGTTTGTTTGTTTCTTGGTATTCCTTTATTTTCTTTGGAAACTACGTTCATAATATTACTCACTTTTCGTCGGAAATACCTTTCCGTGCAACAACAAACCGCAGAAAATTGTCGACACGAATAGGTTATGAGCTTCCGACTTGTCGATAGAAAAGTATAGGGCAAATACGTGTGGATATATTTCGTACTATAATTATTTAGAGTTTTCAATTGATTTTTTGAATCGAATGATTTTGAGAATAAAATCGAATGGGAAGAATCGTTGAAGGTGCATGAGGTATCAGCACATTTATAACTGTCTTTCTTGTATCGCATAAATGATACCGATAAACCGTTAGTAATAAATCTTATCTGTGTTTGTCGAAAAAGCTGCGTACGACAAACAATCCCGAAACGAGTATGTTAATGTTAATTCTACTCACGTCAACAAACCCTGCCAAAAGATAACAAATAATCAAATTATTTGATCATTTGATAAAACGATCGGATGATTATGTTATGTGGAAGCTTTCCGTAGTTAAATCATATGTACTCAATTATCTCACAGTACGAGTACCTGGAAGATTCTTATCATTACGTTTGTTACATTAATTATAGTATACATTAGGATGGGTCTTATTTTTCCATCGTCAAAAATTGAAATTTATATAGAGTATCGCATATCATTGGATTTACCATCCTTGCTAATAGATAACACTCGAAAGTAACATTTTTAATTGAAAGAGGTAAGTTTCTCACGAAAACACCAATTCCATGAAAACATCGTTCGCGAATAGTCGGTTGTGCGCTGTTTGCAAACAAAGTATCCTGCACACCGGGCCGTGTCTTAAGAATAAAAGAGAATGGCACGTTGCCACCTATGCTGTGTGCTATTTTTCACGGTTCTCCGATATGTACTGGCACTGTTTTCTCATCTTACGATCAACATTATATGCGAACGTGCACGAATAATTTCGGAAATGCGACGAGCTGACCGGCTGAACTGATCTTTCTTGACGACTTTAAGAAATATTCGCGAGTCTATGGCCGAAATAAAAACACGTCGAACGAAATAGGTTAGGGGCATAATACCATCAATTTGTCCGCGGTACGACACTGTGGTCGCAGATAAAAAATTTCGATCTCTAGAACATCGGTTCTAAATCGAACATCCCTAGTCGACGATGAGACACACTGACGGTGACAAAAACAGAACGGATGGACTTTGCCAGATGTCACTGCAATGGATCGTCGTAATCTGCCCGCGTCTCTAGCTTGGAACCCGATCTTTGAAAGGGACCTCTGATTAAATGGCATGCCTTGACGATCGGGCGCACGATAATGATAACAATAGTCTCGTTTTCCCCTAGCCGAGTGAACATCCTCGCGGGCGAACCGCGCAATCGCATCTTCTAATAGCGGTTCGCGTCGTATGACGAAATAAAACGTTTTAGAATGAAGCGCGAAAATAAGGAAAAATATTTGGCACTTGCACGCTCCCGCTAATACGATACGAAATGCTAAAAATAAACAGTGACTACGAGTGAAAAGTCGATCTCGAGTGATCAATATCGCGCGAGTTCCGAACGAAGTCTAAGAATACGATGACGGTCGTGTGTGTATTTAGGTACGCCCGAAGCGGGCAAAATTCTTTTTACAATATCTTCGATTTATTTATGTACCTTTGTCGTATAGCTTTTATTTTTTGTCACGGATTCAGAGATCCCATCTAACTCGTCGAACTACATACACATACATAAATTTCATATCTGCCTTTCTCTGAGTCACACAAATCTTACGTCATTTAAATCTTGCATCATCCAAATCCTACGTTATCCTAGACCCCTGAATGTCATCGAATCCTGGTTTATGCTACCAATTACAACTAAATTTTAACATGTTTACCGAGCTAAAAAGGATATACATACACATTCGCAGTTAGTATTCGAATTTATTGTCGACGAAGACTGATTTTCATAGAATTTTATTTTCGTGTCACGTATTTCTTTTTTTAACCTCTCTTATATTGGTTGACAAAATTATTCTGAAACGAAATACGCGTATATTTATACCGGAACTCGTAAATTTACGCGTACCTTTTGTTGCTCAAGGTCATTTGACGGTCAATTTCATATTAGACATTTTATCTCTCTTTACCAGTTTATTTTCAAGATGATATTCAATCTTTGTATCGTTACGTTAGCAGGTTTTCTATTACAACCACTAAATTTTTACCAGTTGGTTTTATATACGAACAATGTTTTATCGTTCAGTAGAATATTGAAACTGTTTCTTCGGGAGTCTGCAGTAAATATTTGCATAATACTCTTCTGTACCATTTTTACTCCTGACAGAACCACAAAAAAGAATAAAGGTGTTCGAAACGATTCAACGTTTATTGCATACTGTATACAAAAGTATACGATTTGCTTGGAAAATATTTGAACGCGGTAATTTGCACCACCTTTTATTTTATTTTCTCTGTGTACAGTTATTATTCTCTTTGTCTAGAGCCGATGACGAAAGATAATTAATATTTTAATATGAAAGTGTTGACACAAGACCGTAGACAATCTGTGGAAACGTATTTAATGGCGGCTCAAAGGTTACCGCGTCGTTTAAAACTGTTAAAAAATACCGTTTCTACGTAATACTTTTTTTGTTTCTAAAAAGAATATGAATGAATAAAATAAAAATAAATGTAATAAATAATAAATTGTATAGTATAATAAATAAATAAATAAAAAATATGAATAAAAGAATAAAGTTTCACTAATAAAATATAATAAGTTAATAATAAATGCGAATACTGAGCCTGCATTAAAGGACACTGCTTTTGTTTTAGGGGCACGTTCCAAACATTTTGGACGCCCCTCTGTATGCACCATCGACCCTGGGGGTTCGTAGTTCACAGTTTGAGAAACCCTGCTATATATCCGATCAGATTTCGTTAGTACTTGCGATATGTTCGATTCCATCGCTACTAATCAAGAAAATACCTTGAGTATTGTGTATTGACGGTGAAATAGAGAGGGAGGAGAGGGGTCAAGATGGAGGGGGAATAGAGAGAGAGAGAGAGAACTGGAAAGGTACTTACTGGAGCAACGTAACAGACTTGCCAGTAGTCATTACAACTCATGTCGTAATCTGTTGTTAAACGTATTAGCAGCCGAGCAGAGAAAGTTCTCAGTCTGAATTCAACGAAAGCATTGAATTCTCTCTACTCTAAACTACTAAAAAGTAGCAAATAATACTTTCTCAGACATAAAATATTGATTTTACATTACACGTGTTGTAACTTCTAACAACAATAACAATACATCATTCTACGTGTTTATATTTAGATAATTTTGAAAACGGTACCGAATTAAATTATTACAGAATTATTTAAAACGTATTCCTGTCTTCAAAAGGCGATTATACGATAATAGTAACAGAATTACATAAATATTAAAGATCCTTTACGACTCTTGTGAAATCTCATATTTGAAGTACAAGCGAGATTACAATTTCAAGTCTAGCCTTCTGTTGCAATCGCTTAGTAAACACAGCGCGGAATAACCAATCTAATCTCGCAACCTATCATCGAGGAACTAATTATGAATTAACACGTTCGCCGCTAACTTCGTGTAAAAACAATCATGTTAAATATATATTAACTTTTGTATCTACGATACCATGACTGATGTCCAAGCGTAAAGTATGAAACGCGCTAATAATCGCCTGGTAAACACAGTTACGTTTAATTTAATATTACGATCTGGTTACATAACCTGCTATTCTGAATAAGGAGGATCAATCGCCACGGAGTTGGAACGACCACTATGTATTTATTAATAGTACTAGCAAAATTCTAGCAGCGTTGTTTTTGCGCTCTGTTTATTCCCCGAACTCGCGACCAGAAACGCCGAACCATTTCGCGAAAGAAATTCTCGATAATACTCGGTCGCGGATAAGATACTAATTGCTGGAAAGGCCACTGCAGGTTCTTGACCTCATTGTGTATGTCATGTGAAAGTACCAGAAACGTCAACTTCGCGTATTTCGGTTAACGGCGTGGAATTACACGACGAGTAGCGTTATTAATTTTTAACTCGTGGATTGGCATTACTGTGAGCCGTTAAGCTTAAAATCGCAAGCCGTACGAATCCGTGAAAGTATCGACAGGAACGAGCGCGAATTTCGTTACGGATTCCGTTTAAAACACGCCACGCGTTTACAATGTGGTCATAGAATCGTGGTATACCAACTTTGCATGTGTGTGGTAACCATTGAAATAGATAAGGAAACGTCGGCGAACGTGGGTTCGAAAACTAAGTATATTCAAGTTACGATATTAAAGATACATCACAAGTAGCCACGAAGATAATAAGATAATAATTAATATCAATATAACAATGTTAAATTATTGACTAATCGCTGACAGAGAAAATATAATTTGTTCTATTTATTTCAATGAGAGTCAACCTAGTACTGATAAAATTCATATCATTAATTTATGAGCACCCTGTATATGGGTACGTGATATGTAGACACGTCGAGAAATAATATTCAACAGATAATTTGAGACACGACTAAATTAACAAGATAGGTACAACATGTGGTATCGTACTTTCGATACGTTTCTTGTACTAAAAGGATTTAGTAAAATGTATACAAAAATACACTTTCGTATACGAACGAACGAAACAGTTTGTACATCAAGATTGTTTACATCGAACGCGGCAGTTCACAGATGGTCGTTGCGCTTTGTTTTCATTTACAATTTTAATGAACGATCACACGAGTTCTAATAATTACACGACGCCGGCACGGATTATACTACTTTTCTTGGATATTACGTAGGAAGGGTCGTTAAGTTGCAAGTGTACGGTATATCGGACGAGAGCTAAATGCGATCTAATTTGCATAAACCGAAGGAGGCTTTTAGCACAAACGATACCTCGTGAATCGATAGGCCTGGAAACCTGGCACCGAAAAGATAATTATTGTTCACGATTGCCGCACACGCGATGTCAGCATTGTTTCCATTGTTAATAGCCGAGCCAGTTAACAAGGTATGTTCGAAGAAATTGAACGCGATATACATAGATACACAGATCTATTTTAAGAGAACGAAACTTTACGCGCGTTTCGACAATGTCAGTGAATAAAAGCCAAGTCTAAAATCGAAATTTATTGCTAAATACAAGCGTGGTAAATGAAAACAAACAAAAGCCGTTTTGTAACGCGTTAATCAGAAAGTATCGTGCGTTGCTGTAACCTTGGCGGGCTACAGACGATCCCCACTGGTCGCAACAAATAACGAACAAAACCTCTTAGCAACATCGTACGATTTTTATGAATGGACTTCGTCTCTATGTGGTAGTAAATGCATTCACGGACTCGCGAACTGTTACGAATCGGAATTGTTACGAATCGATCGGGCTTCAACGCGAACGTACGTGCCAACCGGCAACGTAACGTTGGTCCAGTGAATTACGTCGGCTTTATCAATTCAAATCGTGCGAACACGTAATAATTCCGAGTCGAATCGACGACAGTACCGCCTGGACGGTCGGCCATTTTCGCTGGCTTTGTTTACGTAGCCGTATATCGAACCGCGGTGTACGCAAACATAGTGAAGTTCCCCGTGTTTCGCACGAAAAAGATGCGGAAAAGCATTCTCTCACCTCGAATTGCCAGTGTGCCGCCTGCAGCAACTGTTTCGCTTGCTCTCTGGCACAACCTGCGGCCAGTACGAACTGATTGATCATCACTTGCTCGCGAAGGGCGTCCATGTTTTCGTCACGTTTTTCCGAAAAGGGAGAAAATACCAGACGAAACGAGGCACGCACAAGACACGAGTACGGCACAATCTTCCGTATCACCGAGCTTTGACTCTGCCTCGAGCTTTCGTTTAGACGCGAGCGCGGCCAACGAGCGGCGACCAGCCTCTTGTTTTCAAAACTAAACTCATCGCAGTCGGCTGATGGACACCGCGGGTTACGGAACGTAAGAGACGAGGATGGTGTGACGTCACTACCAGTTCTTTGCGAGCGAGCGTACCGCCTCCCCTATGTTTGGGGACGTTCTTTTTACCGTGCACGCTCTCCGTTTCGATTGTTTATTTTCATACATAATAAACAGTGTAAAATGTTTCGAAGTGACAAACGATCCACTCGTGCATCTCCGAGTACCTGATTTTTTTCGAATATTCTCGTGTTCTTGCTTTCAATAAATTACGTGTTTACGTTCTAGAATTGGTCAAGTTGGAATTTTAACACAGAAATAGACAACATGATTTCGTGTTTCGTTTGCTGGGAATACCTATTAGGTCACCCACCTCTGTTCGAGAAACATCGTTTTCGTAATGTTTAGAGACTACGTTTAATGTTTGTAAGTTTGCAAGCCTGCTTATGGCGTTTTCCTATAATATGATTCCTAACTTGCCGATTGTGGTTAACAAATAAGAGAAGAAAGTAACAAACATTTACATTTATATTGTGTGTATTTCTATTTAAAAATTATATAAAATTATTACCTCATTTATCGATGTATAAGTAATTGAAAAAATTAATTTAGGTTAATAATTTTGTCGTTACCACAAGATTTGTTACATACTTAGTGACTTATTTTATGGTTAAAGTATATATTACAGGAAAACTCTTAACATCAATTTTTTTTATTAATTAAACTATAAGACATTAAATACTTTTTTATAGAATAATTCATTATCACAGAATTATATTAATGGTCTTTTATATGCCCATAACCTATCATGATCATAGATAGTATGAATTTTTTCATACATGTATTTAAAAAAATATAAAAGATTGTCGTATTGTCCCTTGTACCTTTGATCAGTTTCAGGTATATCTTCTATGTCAGTGTATCCTTCTATCGTACCAAATGCACACGTATGCAATTCTACTAAAAATTGATGAATTGCTTCAATTGTAGCTAAATACCATCGTGGACTTTTCTTTTGATGACGCCAAAATTGGGATATTCTTGATTTTAAAATGACACATTGTAAGTCTACAAATTAACATTAAATATTGTTTTACATTTTTTCTGTATCAATAGATTTGTCTTACTAAAGATTATCTACGAAATCTAAATATATATATAAAAATTGTTTTTATATTCACCTCGTAGTCTTTGATCTTTATAAATAGTTTTTGTTTGATGCCATGTACTATCGATAAAAATAGCTCTTTTTATGGGAAATGTATTCTTTGTCCTATTAATGATTCTGTTATTACCTTGTTTAAACTTGTTTTCAAAAAGTGATTCAATGCTTATGCCAGTTTGGCTAGGAAAAATTAAGACGGTCTAAACAATGATGTTATTCAGATCAAATTAATATTTTACTTAATTAAACGATACGTAGGTTGTTTTTGCAGTTATACCTTTTCCTTGTCTAATATTTCTGGGAAATCAGGATATGTATAAATTCTCACATCATCCGGTGCTAATACAGCTGCATGAATTGCTGTACTTTTCCCATCAATTTCACGTGCATGCTTAATAATATCTATCTTAATTGGTAACTAAAAACAAAAACTTGTTCAGTTGTAATTCACGTAAAATATAAAAATGTATTCTGTTAATTGCAATACCTTCACTCTAGGAAAGTACTTTTCAGCGATGACCGGTAAACAACACGAGTAACAAAAGAATTTACGTGATTTATAACATCGGTTACATATCTCTCGGCCTTCTATCGTGTTCAAAACTTGGGCGTCAGTAATTTTTAAATGACGAAATGGCGCCTTATCAATTACTCTCTGTTCTTTCTCCAAGTTTGAAAGTTTTTTGGTATGATCAATTGTCACGTCGGGTTTCGCCATATTTTTAATAACATGAATGTCTAATTAAACATAAAATATAATTCCTATCCGTAACGATACTTTACACAATTATCAAAGTAATAAGTATCGTTAATAAGCAGGTTATCACTCGTGAATGCGGAAGTACACATAGCTATAGAAAAATAACCTCAAGTTGTGTGATAAATTTCGTAATGAATTATACAGTGTTACCAGACGGCATACCGGTGCCCAAAGGAAACTGCCCTTCCACGTATGCACACTAATGCACAGCTACGTGTACGTGAGTTCTGCACTGCGGATAACTTCAGTTAGTTTCAGGAATTCGCGAAAGATGGTGATCGTGAGCCTTTCTTTTTCCCTCTAAAAACTTCGACTCGCGCCAATCGGCATACGATTTCGTGTCTATTAACCACAGACGATCTCGTCTGTGTTTCAAGCCTGTTCAAAATATTGTTGACGGGGGTAGGTGCAGAAATTTTTCTGCAAAACACAAAAAATTTCAAATCGTTCTGGAAAAATTATTTTTGGTTGCGGAGATGCACTCTTCCAAAGTGGAACAAAATGTTAAAAAGATCATGCATCAAATTGTAAGGGGCTCCTCGTAAAAAGGCTTTAATCTTCGTAATGGATCGGTGGGTCGATGATCAACAATGACTAGCTTATGGTCACTAGTGGTCAACAGTGAGGTTGACATCGAGGTCAGCATTCCAGTGAGGAGCCAGAAATGGTCAAGAGGTGGGACCAATCGAAATAGTTTCTTCGTAGACAAGCCAGTCTTAACTGTTAACTCCAGCTTTGGCTCTGACTGGTCTCCCCACCCTTCCATCACCTTAGACGTATAAGCAGGGTCACTGCGAAGAATTCTTCAGTCGCGTCGCGGATTCGGGAGTGTACAAATCGCCTGAAGTGAACCGAGGACCTCTGCTGGCCGCTGCTGACCACTACTGGCCAGCGCTGACCATGGTTGACCAATACTGACCACTACTGACCACTACTGACGAGTGCTGGCTCGCGTTCCTGCCACTACTGACCACTACTGACCAGTGCCGGACGGTGATGACTACGGTAAGAACTGTTTAAAAATTCTCTCCCCTCTTCTATTCTATCGTTTGATACCAATTTCGTTTCAATGAACTGATTTTGCCTTGCTTGCCTAACTGACGTTGCTATAATATGAATATTTTCTTACTTTACAGCTGATCCAGTGGTAACTACCCTATATACTGACAACAAGTAGTAAGTCCACTCCACTTATTTATATTTTATTATTTTTATTTGTTTGTTTGATGTGAATTCAACTTTATTTATGTATCTGACTGCTTTGATATGTATAATATTGCAAGATATAATAATGTAATAGTATATTCTTGCTCGAATTCTCGTAACATTCTACGGAGATACTTTGTTTGATTTTTCCATTTCGTTTGATTGTTTGGTGTCGATTCAACTTGGTGTCTCGATGACACTGATGAATATAACAATGCCCCTTTTGACATGTATAACATGGTGTCAATGCATATACCATGTTTGCTTCGATGACACTGATGAATATAAGATGTTTATTTTTACGTTTCAGCTTAAATTCTTGTAACATATTGCCAATATACTCTGTTCAATTCCCTTTAGCTAGGTGATAGATCATTTTTAAGTGTTTAAGAACCTCCTTTTTAATACCTCAGCTTACAATGATGTTTCAGAGAAGCGATAAGTCTACCGGGCCAAACATGAACAAGACGTCTCAAAGATGTGATAAGTCTACCGGACCTATGGACCTTGGACCTTTTGGCACGCACAGTTGGAAATTAAATCGTAAGGCAAGGGGTTAAACAAAATAATTGCTCGGTACAATTAAACTAGACTTAAGCTTCGACTGGTTGTATACGTGCTACCTTTGGCAAGTGTAGTGACCGCGGGTATGAATGTTACCCGTGAATAGTAACACATGTATATTGTTTTATCTGAGTATCTTTTGTTTAAAATTATAATCTTCTTGCACACCGCGATTTTCAAGATGACGAATGTCATAGTAGATTCATTTTTAATTTGACACTGATTTTAAAATGAATATATAATGAGTACATATACATATATGAATAGTACAACTTCCTCTCGTTCGCTTGTTCTCTGGTTCTCGCTTTCCGAGATTATGTCTCGACCGAAAGGATCGGAGAGTTTTGCTCGATCACCTCTGTTTGATAGAATGAAACATGTGACGCCTGTGTAGTAGGTGTGATAGCTCTTACCGCTTCAACCCCGGTGCAGCTTGGTTCAGCTTAAGTGGGGCCTCGCCGAGCGCATATATTCTCCTCTTTATACGGAAAAGAGAATGACCTCCGGCGAGAGTTCCTGACCCATATCCGTTCTCGAGTACTAAGCGGGTCCTGTTGTGACCGTGTGTCCTCCAGGGCCCGGCGGTTGTACGTAGAGAGGCCCGATAGACGTGGGTCAGGGGCGCGACTTGCTTTTCTGATAATCAAGGCCGGGGGGGGATCAATCTGATACCCACACTCACTGCACGCTTATGAGCACGTGTCGCGTCGCGTTTTATTCAAGCGTGCGATGCTTTTACACGCCGCAATTTTCAATATGACAAATATCGTAATATCGATCGAAAGTAGAGTCATGATTTTAATATCATTTATAATACTTATAATTATATTAACTTTAGAACGAGTGTCAAATTAGTAGCTTCCGATTGTTCTTTACATTCTTCGATAATTAAATTCATTTTCATAATTTAGTCGACGACTTTGGGTATCTTCGATATCGAGGATACCCAAAGTCTTTCTTTACTTATTAAAATATATCATTAGATTTACGTGCAAGAAGATATTTCGCGATAAATATATTTTAGAGTCAAAGTAACCTCGTATATTATCTACTATTTTTACTTTGTCACAGCACTTGCCTGTAGTTGTAGTATTTGTAGTTTTACAGATTCAGTGTTGTTCTCTTACTAATCTATTAAACAAGTTTCTGTTACAGAGCATATTCCTATGGAAGTTTTAGGTCTATAAAGGTAACAGTTAAGAATTCTTACAATTTTGTTTGATATTGCTTTGTTCGTGTTTCAGGAAATCATCGTGGGATAAATAGAAGATAGAAGAAAGAAGAAAGAAGAATGTATTTCATGTATTTTGTTTCACATTGCTCAATTTATGTTTTAATAATTTAGGTTTATAGTTAGGTAGAATGTAACAGTATGTTTCAGGAAATCTTCGTCGAAGGATCAACAAGGAAGAATATATTTACTATGTATTTTGTTAGATGATTAGATAGGTAGGATGTAAATGAATTTAGATTTATAGTTAGGCAGGAGTTTGATTTTCTATATTAATCATTATATCAGGCAGGCAATATTTTGGTCTATTTCTCTGTTTTGTTGATGAGAATTTAGAAACAAATTCTTTCTCAAAAATTCTTTCGTTGATTGTTTCCATCGTTGATTGCACTTTCGTTTGTTTCTTCTTCGACCAACGATTGTTGGTCACAGATTTTTATTAATGGAGGGTGGTTGGGAATCGGTTAGGGCGGGTCTCCATTCGCAGCAACCTCCTCGTGGTGAGACCTGGGTAATATTATTTAGCGTTTAATTAATAATCGTATCACTCTTAGCTGGGTAATGCAATTATTAATTAAAAACTAAATATTATTAGCAAATTGGCTGCGATCCGCTTTGCATAGGTCATCATAAATATAGAGCTTCTTCGCTAGGCTAGTTTTGATTCTCATTGATTCATCAAAGATTCTAGAGTGTTGTCACAGATGTGGTATAGAAGTAGATCCTTCATCCAATTTATTTTTGCGGCCTATTTTTGTGGGGTCTCGAAACCACATTACCATTTTCGTGTCTTTTGCAACGTTACCAACAGATTCAGAAATGAATTTTAATCTCTTCCATAGACACCTCACATGTATTTACGCAACCACAGACGAGATATATGAATAGACCTTTCACGTAATGTAATTTTTCGGCCGGAGTTTCTGGGGTCCCGGGACCCCATTACCATTTTCGTGTCACTCGCAACGTTATCAACAGATTCAGAAATTAACACAAGAGGAAGTGAAACAGAAAATAAAATTACATAAATTTTATTATTTTTTAACGGAATTAAAGCTGTAGGGTCCATCATTGGACATTAATCGATTAATTTCATTGGAGAAATCAATCGATTAAGAGTATTTAAAAATTTCAAGATTATTAAAATTCATAAGGATGTATTTCATTGATACGTACACCGCAAATTCTCTATTTTTTATTTTAAATTGTAATACATCATTTATTAAAAAAATAACTCGGCAGAAACGTATTTGCGACTCGAAATCAGTTTAATCAGACTGTGTATCGGGGCCCCGGAAACTTCTCATTCCTCACTTTCGCACACTATGCCCAATTGCGTGTACGTGAGCTCGTTGAGTTTCGGAAGAGCCGAGAAGAACAGGCTGATACTCGCTTTCCTTCTCGCTCTTGCATCGCTGACGTCGCTTACATTTCTCGAAAGCAAGCCTGCTGGCATCGCCACCCGTTCGAATCGTCAGTAAACGACAAAAGCCATCGTGACTGACAGACCTTACATTTCTCGAAATCGGACCTGGGCGCTTTTTGAAGATTCATTGACTTTCCATACGAAGCGACCATACGTTATATACATATACATGTTATACATGCTAGGAACTATAAAGTTGTATAACTTTCGTCGTATATCTACTTTCTAATAACATAGGAAAATTTTAAAATATAAAAAAATGTAAGAATACTGTAGAATTTTTGCAATGGAGAATTATTGAAGGAAAATGAATTGATTATATACATATGTATATATCGGACACATCCCTCGCAAACACGCTGCAAACATTAATGAGAACAAAACTGCAAATCTGTCCTTTTTTAAAACCCCGCAACTGATCTTTGACTCGGAACTCGTCCTCTTCATTTAGCAATTATAATAAACGTAGACTCATTAAAATTCGTAAAAATAACAAAGTTATAGCCATTTAGAGGGAAGAGTACCCAACGGTAAATAATCATACCAGAAATTTTAAATGAGTTTTTCTCGAAACCATATTTTCGAAATTGGCTGACATGATATCACAAATTCATATTGATTAATGGATTTGAAATTTATAGAGACATGCCTGTATGTTAGAAATTTTGCCTTTGACGGTTCTGGGGTAAGTCCTGTGCCGTTCCTCACAGTGCTCTTACCGGAAGGTCCCACGC